TGTGCAAAGAAAAGTAGAAGTTTGTGGGGTTGTGACAAACGTAAGTATTAGTAGGAGGGTGGACTGCTAAAAGGAAATTGAAGATAATTGTCAATAATTCCAAATCTGGAGGAGATCCAAGGACTTCTGCTATAATTTTCACAAATGATCTACAAACCTCGCGGGGCAAGGATGTGAGCTGCCCCTCTTTGTGTTCCTGAAAAAATAAAAACTCTCTTTAGATTTAAAGAGAACTGTCAACTTAACATTTTTCATTTAAGCAAGATATTCCTCTTAAGATAGAAGTGTGTTGGCTTATCACTCTGGTCGGACCATATTCACAACACTGAGCTGCTATTTCTCAGTTCAGGCAATCCTGCTATAAAAATGCACGAACACCAGTGGCCCCACGTAAATGTCAGCTGCAATTAGCACCAGTACCACCGCTGGCACCGCTTCTGCTCCTACTGTGGGTTCAGGAGGGTCAAGTTCTGACGGAGTGCTGATCACGTTAACACAGTACGTTCCACTTTACCAAGAGCTTTCTCACAACAGCTCTGAGAGGTTTTACCCTTCGTTTCTAGAATATGAAGACCAGAAGTGGTTATACGACTAACTTGCTAAACCACACAGAAAACATGTCAGTTGTGCGTCTGAAACTCAAACCCAGACCTCTTGACTGCCTGGACCAGTGAGACCTGGTAGAATGCCAAGGAATTACTGAAAATGAAGGCGGATATAAATACATTATTTATATTCTCCAATCCCACCTCCCCAGCGGGCAGCAGCCGGCCTCTAGAGCAAGGCCGTGGGGCGTAAACTTCCTTGTCTTTCCTCTCTCTGTCCAAACAGACACTGTGTCTCCACACCCAATCTTCTTCATTTACTCTTGTGCATCGCTGAATCAGAAAACGTAAAACCTAGACGATAACTGTGAAACACTTTAGTCTAACTACCTCGGATTTAAGAAGAGAACACCCAGTCTACAAAAGTAAGCAAAAACTCCCTCGTCAAGACCTCACAACTGCCACGGGGCCAAGCCAGGCCAAGAGCACAGGGTTCCCAACTTCCGGGTCTTTGTCATCCCTGCTACAACCACCTGCCTCTTTTCTAAATCATCCCCGGGGTAACTTCCCAACTCTCCTGATTGTCACCTCAATGACTCACTCCTCACCCATCCCAGCCTGATCCACTGACTCCTTACAAATAGTCGATGGCAATCTATTTCATTTCTTTAAAAAATCCTTTAACTTGGCCTGTTGGGAAATGCTTGCTAACACTTTTTGTCTTTCTCTTGCTGCTGGACTTTTTAATAATCATTTATTCTCACTGCCTCCAATGATCTGCCACACATGCTGCCTAAAGTCCCCAGAAATCTGGTTCCTGCCTTCTTCACTCTACTGAAATCTCATCCGCCACTAAGAATTTCCAAGTTGGTGGCCCTTCACCTGTCCGCACTTTCCTGGAACTTTGTACATCATGCGGCCCTCACTCCTCCGCCTGGGCAGTTCTCTCCCCTCTGCCCACCCCTGGCTTTCACTTTGCTGAGCTTCCTGGTTCTTCTTCATCTCTTCAACCACCCACTTTTTTGGGGGTGGGGGGTGGAAATTCTTTCTACACCTCTCTCAATAGCTCCTTTTTCCGGTTTCACACCCTGAAAACGGCTGTCTCCTGCGATGCAAACCTCAGCTCTCTCTGCTCCTTCCGCTGCATGTGTTTATCCTGGAGTGCTTACCTACCCCCGTGGCTCCCCTGTTCATCAGTGCTAACAATGTCCGATCTCACTCTCGTCCGTCCCCTCAGCTCCCGCCTGGCACATCGCAGTGCCTGGCGGTCACCGCCCCTGAACGCCCACGGAAACCTCAAGTGCAGAATGTTCCGTTCACGCTCACTCCTCCTCTCTGTGATGACGTGATCATTCTCCTAGTCTCCCAGCTCAAAATGTCCCCTATCTGACTTCTCTTGTGGCTCCTATCTGAACAGAATCTGGCCCTACTAACCCTACTAACCTTCACAGTCTTCCTCCTTTCCTGTACACGCCCACTTTACAGGCTCTCGAAGCTCAGGTCTTTACGCTGTACTAGTGGAGAGATGAACCTGGCCCACGCCTAATTTTCTACTGATTTCTTAATCTTCCTTAAATACTCTGAGATATCTGAAAGGCAACGACTAAGTTCATTTCTTTACATACTTCCCTCGATACCTAACATAAAGTTATCCTTAATAAATAGCTGTTAATTCAAAAAATAGGCTCTCTGAATGCAGAAGGGTGAAGAAATACACCTTTCACGAAAAGGAATTGATACCTGGATTTTTCTAGCATTTTAATTAATAATATGGAAGTGAAAAATATACTGAAAGCTCCAAGTTGATAAGTGCCACTTTTCTGACATGGAAAGAGTGAATAAGAACTTCACACTGTCATATGAATTCATTAAAACTGGCCAACAAGTTTCAAAGTGGACAGACAAGGAGAAAGAAACTGAGTGATACATAAAACACTCGGTGAGCAAGGGGTCTGCGAGGTCACTGTACTGTATCCCTGAAGACAGCACTCTAATTTCCCACAGGGGCCAAGAAGGGTATGACGTATTTTTGTTTTGTTACTTCAGAATTCATTCATTCCACAAGCGCTGACTGCAGGCCTCTGTGTTCCAGGTACTGGGACTACTGTGTGATCAACAGAAAACCTCACTCATGCCCTCAGGAAGTCCGCAGGGGAAATGAGCCATCAACTCATGAATGACGTAAAACTAACAAAACGTGCACGTGCAGAGGGAGACAGCGTGCGCTCTGGGGAAAGGGCGCGGAAGTCAGGTTTACGCTCGGCATAACGCAGGAGCAGGAGCTGGCCAGGTCAGAAAGACCATCACCTGTCCTGCCTGTCCTGCGCTGGGAAGCAGGCTCCCTTGTTTAGGGAAGAGAAGTAAGGCGGGGGCTGCGTGGCTGCAGGTGGGGCTGAAGTGCAGCCGATCACACAAGCCTTCTCACAGAAGTTGTAGGTTTTTAATTTTACCCCAAGAACAGTGAGAAGGCACCAGCGCAACGGGAACAAAGGGATGTCAAATGAAGGCAACGCTACTGATCCCACGGGGCCTCTGGACTCCTCCGAGCGGATAAAGACCTAACGTCTGCCTCGGGCAACGAAAATAAGCCGACTTGAAAACGGCCGAATTCACCAACCCCGCTGGAAAAAGGGAATCTGCGAAGGCAGAGAGAACCATTCCACTAGAAGCCAGGCCACAGCACAGGCTCTGCAAAGCGCCTGGTGAAGGTAGGGCCACTTTTTGACATTATATTTGTGATATATTTTCAATATACTAAGTCTAGTACATAAAACAGATCTTCAACAAATACACTTATTAAAACAACACATACTTGTACTTGTTATTTAAGGAACATGGAACAAGTTAAAATTTCACTATTGTTGATGTTCAAGAGACTATCAAATTATTATTTTAGCCCAACAGAAAGAAACATCTCAGAAATTCAGTAGCTGTTCTTTTTTCACTGAGTTAGGAATGGTGACAACATAAAGGTCAAGCTACAAGAGGCAGGCGCTGAAAACCTCCGATACTATTCGTTGAAAGAGGGGATCCTGGAGAGAAGGGAACACAGAAAATAACTTCATGGAAAGTCCCACAGAAGTCTGAGTGCACAGCACTGAGCTATTAAACATAAATGATTGCAGGAAATAACTCCAAAAGTAAAGTCACATGAAAAGTACCTGCAAAACCTGACAGGTCAGCAGAAAATGATGAACCACTCGCGCTTTCAGCAACTGCTTAATGTTAAACACCTGCTGCTGGTGGTCTGCTCGGATGAGGACTTCCAGGGCTGCCAGCAGGCCTTCCCAGACACCTTCCTGAGGAGATGAACACAGGCCCGTCAGCACACGGTCACCGAAAACCACGCTGCATGCTTGTTAGAAAGCATGCAATACAGCAGTTTAACACTGCGTGTACACGCAGGGCCAAAGATTAAATCTGTCTGAAAAAGCAAATCTTAAAAGTTATTCCCAGACTATTATTATTATTATTTTTGACAACTGGTCATTTCTAAATACTTATGTTGAATGCAGTATTGCATTAGGTGCTTCATTTAGTACATTAACCTTTCTGCGGCATTAAATGATACACAATATTTTCAAAAGATAAATTATCTGGGGGATTTATTCACTATAGAGAAACACATTATCAATATTAACTGTTTACAAATAATTTATTTTCAAGAGCATTATTAAAAATGTAAAGACTTCAATGCTACTTTGTGTATACAGCACTTAATCAAAAAATTTTAGACCAAACTATACTAAATTGAAAAAAGCTACCAACAATGTAGAAACTCTCCACTTTTGGATTAATTTACGTTTAAGTCCAAATAACAGAATTCTCTGCACAATTACTAAATGTGCACTTTCAAACAGTAGTTACTATTCTTTTAAGGTTCTTTAAAATGCTTCTCCTATGTTGAATCAATTTTAAATAATAATAGAGAAAAAGGAATCTTATCTAGATAAGTACTACGGGAAGATAATCTTCACTTCATTTTATCACCGCAAATAATCTTTCAACAACGCTGTTAACAAAAAGCAAAACTAACTGGCTCGGGTTGCAGGCCTTGCTGTTTCTCCTGCCCTTGTCTGATGGAAATGTGTAATGAAAGGTCAAGGAGTTCACAGACTCAATCATGCTGTTCTAACCAAGGCCTCTCTTTTCATAAGACAGGGCCAAAGTGCCCCAAAAGAGAGACATATGAAAACTGGGAGACAGGGCAGCCCAAGTATGAAAACTTTATTTATGCCTGAAGAATAGGAGCAAAAAAGAATAGAGCCGAAGCAAACAAATCACCCAAAACAAGAAACAAAACAACTCAGGCAAAAAAAATCATTAGGGAAGAAAATCTAATTTCAAGCCCACAGAAGTATTTGTGCATATCGCTTTCAAATTCAACAAAAAATGTTCTGTTTTTAAATCAAACCACCTCAAATTAGCTCTTTGGAAATACTAAGTTAAACAGCTGTCCAACTTTTAGTTAAGATTTGATCTTCCAATCTGTAATTTTATATTTTTACACACATTTATAGTTACACTGCCTTTGATCCAATTTGTTTGCATATAGTGTCTATGTTCATTTGCTTTCTCATCCTGCAGCCCTATGCATATTTTCATACATACACATATATGGATTTTTTTAAATTGTGAAAGTATTTATTCAGAATGAGAAAAGAAATCATAGCAAAATAGAAAGTTTTAAAAACTGACAAATACCACAAAATGCAGCAAAAGCAATAGTGAGCTGCTTGACACAGCTCTGTGAAGCTTCCTGTGTTCTGGCAGCATGTTCTCTGACTGCTTCTTCATACAGCAGTAATTTTCTAAAATAACTTTATATAGGGAGAATAGAAAAATAGTTGTCTTTCCTCTAGCACGTTCAAAATTTATTTTCATTAATCATAGATTAGAAAAGTGTCTTTCAGCTTCATAACTGACCATTGATAATGAGTAAATCAGGGGGAACCGCTGCCAAATCTGAAATAACCAACTTTAAAAAAATCCTAAAGGCATACATACCCTTGGGATTGGTCCTCAGTTAGCTGTGCTTATGATGGCGCTGTCCCCTCTAAGCAGCTCTAGGACCTCCTCCAGCCTGGAGCTCAGGAGGCTCTAGGAACCAAACTCCGAAGACCGTGCTCAGCACAGGGCGGAGAGGCAGCAGCCCTGTGTCCATTCCCTGCTGCGACCCCGGGAGCCCCCCACCCATGCAGCTGTGGAGCTGCCTTGCCTGCACCTAAGACCAAGGAGGCGCCTTAGCTTGTGCCTGCGATGAAGCCAGGACTTCACAGCCTTGCCCTGAGTACTGGCCCCTCTATGACTTCCTGGCAACATGGCGCCCCTCCTCAGAAGTGTGCCCATTTCCCTCTGATTGGTCCGACTCTTCACACTCCCGGCAGGATCCCGTCTCAGAGCTCATGGTAAAGGCAAGTCCCCTTCGAATGAGCCCCAGGTTCTCCAGCCGAAGATCAGCTCTAGCTCTTCCCGGCAGCCCAGTTCTGGTGCTGACCCTCCAGCCCAGCGTTACCCATGGCTGTTCAAACCCTTGCACAGAAAATAATCTCCAGATTCCATTTACATCTAACATTACACTGAAGTAGTTAATTTGTTCTGTTCTCCAGAAGAATGATAAGTGAATATTTAAAAGTACATGCCTCTCTGTACAGCAAAGGAAGCAATCAACAGAGTGAAAAGGTAACCTACAGAACAGGAGAAAATATCTGCAAACCATGTATCAGATAAGGGATCAGTATCTAGAATATATAAAGAGCTCCTGCAACTCACTAACAAAAACTCAAATAGCACAATTGAAAAAGGTCAAAGGACTTGAATAGATATCCCTCCACAGAAGACACAGAAAAGATCACTAAGTAGATGGAAAGACACTCATCCCTAATCAACAGGGAAATGCAAATCAAAACCACAAGCTCTTGCCTCAAACCCTACAGAATAGCCTCTATGAAAAAATAACAATTATTGTCAACAAAGTAGAGAAATTGAAACCCTTGCACAGTGTTGATGGGACTGTAAAATGGTGCCACTCTTATGGAAAACAGTATGGACTTTCCTCAAAAACTTAAAAATAGAACTACTACCTGATTTAGCAATCGTGCTTCTGGGTATACATCTAAAATAACTGAAAATAGGATCTCGAAGAGGCCTCTGCATATCCACGTTCACTGCAGCATATTCACAACAGCCAAGATGTGGAAGCGACCTAAGTGCATCCACGGAGGAGGAGATAAAAAGACGACTGTTGTCCACGCATCCAGTGGGGCGCTACTCAGTCTTAAAAAAGACAGACGTCACCTGGCACGCTACAACACAGATGGACCTGGGGGACACGAGGCTAAGCCAACAAGCTCGTCACAGAAAGACAACGGAACCATCCTGCTCAAGTGGTCAGGATCTGGTGTGATCAAACTCACAGAAACAGAAAGCAGGATGGGGGGGCCAGGGCCTAGGGGCAGGGGACATGGGAGCTGCTGTTCAACAGGCAGCGTTTCAGCCAAGCAAGATGAAAAGGCTCCGCGGAGCTCCTGCACAACGAAGTGTGCACAGCTGGCACTGCACCGTATGCTCACCGACTGCTAAGGGGGTAAACCCATGACAAACGCTTTTCACTGTTAAAAAAAGCACGTGCCTCTGCCTTATTCCATATCTTCCAGTCAAGCAGGAGCTCCTCCAGCACTTTAGTGTCTTGGATGATAGCATTAGACTCTGCATCCAACTTAAATTCTCCATTCTCGTTGATGTGAATGATGTCTTCACCACAGCAACCTTCAAGAAGGGTCTATGGGAAAAAGGCATTAACACAAGATGTGTGAATAATCAGCCCAAAAATTCAACAGAAATATTCAGCTTTCAATCGTCACAGTCACAACATAAAATTCAAAGGAAAACTAGTGAATAACAACATCTCACAAAGTAGCTTTAATTTGTTTTGCAACACAAATAATTAGAAAACCCTGAAATTTCAAATATTTATAAATGATTATTTAATTTCAAATATGGGGTAAAATAAACCACATCCTACTTTTATTTTTTAAATTTTTTCAAAAAGTATTCATGCCATAAATATAAGTATCTTGATAGCCTGAAGGGCAGGGGTGCAGGAGCACGAGTGGAGGCGAGGTCTTCGCCTTCGTCCTCATACCTTCAGAGACAGACACTTCCACACCGTTACCAAACGCGTTAAGTCAGAAAGGTACTTAAACATGTGATGACTGCTGGGTCGTAATAAAAGCCAGCACAATATGGCTTTAGGAACCTAGCTCTGTAGCAGCACTGCCTAACGGGACTGGGACAGCACCAGGTGTCTGGGGAACTGCGTTCTCTTCCACGACTGCGGGAGCTGAAGCCAACAGCAGTGTCTCCGTGGGTCTCAATTTCACTGACCTACAGAACGAGGGGCCAGCTGAGGAGACACCGCTGGCTCTTCAAGATCTAAAATCTCTAAGTTCCATTTCTTCTTTTAGTCTTCTAAAATGTTTTAAAGGAAATTGAAATGTAATTGTTTAAATGATGAAAAAGACCCAGAAGAGCCTTCATTTGATTAAATACATACTACCGGGTTTCCTTCATTTTCTTCAGGAATAACTGAAACACAAAACTCTACTGGAGACTTCACTGAAGCGGTAAGTACCACTGTGTATGAAACTATTTTCGTATACAGTGAAAATCAACTTTATGAGAACACACCTTTAACATGTGAAAGCCAACAATACACTTCTGTTTGACCAGCACCTGGTGAATCATGGAAAGCCCATCACAATTCTCTAATTCACGTATTCTCTGTTGGTTGCACTTGATCAATGAGAGGATAACTCTCAGTGCTAATGCTTGAGTTTCTTCACAGCTACTGAGTTCCACAACCTAAAAAAAAGTAGATATATTTTTTTCTAATTTGTTGTGATAAAAAATTTTACCTGTGTGGTTATCTATCATTATGTAATATCAATCCATCAGTTTCATTTGAATGCTTGTCTTTTATTGCTGACACTGTTCATTATTATTTAAGAACCGTAAAGAAACAAAACTAAGAACATAAATTCCATGTTCTTTTGTCGCTTATTCTATAAATTGACTCAAATAACACTGATAACCTTAGAAGTCAGTAGCATTTTATTAGTGATCTGAAATGTCAGCAAAATGCCTCAAATTTTTGATGATTAGTCAGTCAGTCAACAAACAGGCTCTGTGTTATGCGCTGTGGGAGATGAAGTAGCAGGCATGTACCTGCCTCCAATGCAGCCTGCTGTCTGCTCAAAAGAGAAGACGTCTGTATAAAAGCTATGGACTGTACCTTGTACTTCAAGTCCCGCAGTGCTTTCTGGAAACTACTACATGTAAGAAATACACACCTTCTCATGCAAAAAGCCAAAGGAGAGTGAGACAACATGAATGCCAGGAGAGCACACAAATGCGTCTGACTCCACTCCGCTTGAGCTGGGGAGCCTGCATGGAGCAGATGGCCTGGAACGAGGGCGCCAGCCTAGGAGGTGGGGGTGAATGGGGCCGGGGGTGAGGCACGGCCAGGAGAGAGGGGAACAGCTAAACCCGGAAGCTCATGGTCCATCCAGAGGGCTGCAGCCGCCACTCTGGCTGGATGGTGGAGATGAGGCTCGGAAGGCAGCCTATGTGTGTAAGGATTTTAAGGGACCAAATTTTATTTTTGTAGGAGAGGAAAGATACTGAACAAAGCTTTTAAGTATAAAGATATCCTTTAAAAGTCTTATTTGTAAGATTCTATGTGTATGCAAGATAAAAAATTAACCATTTTCTCTCACATGTAGTCACTGTGTAACAGTGATCATAACACATTTATATTCAATAACTTGATGAAAGAGGAAAAACCAAGGATATACATTTTAAAATTATACAACGCTATAAAAGTAAATCACAAAATGCTGACGAGAAGTTAAATGAAAAGCTTTTAATTTTAAGACACTAGGGTAAAATCTATTCAACTAGATACTAGATGCAAAAAAAAAGTTTAAAAAAGTAAGAGGACGAAAAGAAAGACAGCGTAGAGCATGGTGGGTCAAATGCTCACAAAATGTTTACAAGAACAGTACCACCAATAACGACCGCTGACATCTCTCGTTGCAAAATTAATCAAGTGTGGTCCCATTAAAGGAAGAAAGCCAGTCAGGGAGACAGCATGATAATGTCGCAGAAGCTACACTTAAGGATAAAGTTCTGAGGCTGAAAGAAGATCAGGAATGCTTTAATTAAACAAGGACACAGAGCACAAGGAAGCAGAAACGATTTGTACTGAAGTGGGCCCATCTGCACCCCTGCTTGGATTGTAGCAATCCCTGAGCTACTGCCTGCCTGCTCTCCATCAGGAAGGACACTGCCCCTGCCCTCAGACGACCAAATAGAACTGATAATTAAACAAGTGTTTCTAAAACAGTACCCATGACAAGAGTCAAACTTTTTATTTCTCCTTCTCTTTTAAAAAGAACATGTCAAATCCGAATAAATTATTTTTGTACTTATTTGTTGCCCTTTGTCTTTGTTCCATGCTTCTGCAAACTTCAAGGGAAAAACAAGTTCCACAAACCTTATTTCAAAGAATACGTTTCTCCTATATTTTTACTACAGTATGCATTTTTTTTCTCCATTGGCAATTTTAAGTCTTGTACATTTAACACTTAATTGTTCTAACTATACATCTGGATAATAGAAAACTTTCAAAATCTTCATAAGTTAAAAAGAAATTTTAATCAAAAAATTATCTGTGGCAGAAAGCTTGATGACATCCTAACCATAAACACTATGTACTTTTTTAAACTTTAAGGTTTAGTACAGTTGATGTACAGCTTTGTTACCAAAAAGAAGTATTAAAATTTATCACAATAAAGAAGCAGCTTCTCTCTAGATGAAACTATCACCAGTGATCCTTACCCTCGCAAAGAGAAAAACAAATATGCCAGTTCCACCGATCTCGTGCAGAATGCCCTGAACGGTCTTACACTCAGTGGGCCGGAGCGTCTTCAGATGGTGGGGTTCTAATAAGATGCTGTGAACTTCTTTCGAGCTGAAGGGTCTTTGAGAGAGCTGGGTTTTCATTTGACCTTTAAGTCTAATGACTGGCTCATAGATGGTGTACTGAGCAGGACAGTAAGTTGTATACACAACTGAAAGGCTTTCCTGAAACACAAATATTTTCCTTCAGTAACTAAACAAAGTTTAAAAAGCAAGCAGTCTACAAGGAGATGAATATTTCAAAGTGAAAAGACAACCAACAAATCTTTCCTTCTGTTTTAAAAAACACAGACACAACACTAAACAGAGACGTCTCCCCACAAAGGGAAAGATCAGTTCCATGTAGCAATGATCAATACGTGTAAGTGACAGCACGGCTGAGAACGTTCCAGCTTTGATCATTTTAGAATGAACATAAAATTACACCTACAATAAACTAATAACAACAGCTAAGTCACATACCACACTCACTGTGTACCGGGCACTGTGCTCTGCGTTTATAAATAACAACCAATCTTGACAGCCCTGTGAGATGGGAATTCTGGGTCAAAGCATTCAAATGTATTTCGTCCGGAATTTGCTCCTGGGCTGGCTACTGATTTAAACATGACTCTAGATCATTCTACCAGAATTAAATTCCAAACTATTAGCATACCCAACTAAAACTGAATAGAATTTTCAATATTGCTCCCACACAGGGGGTAGTTTTGATCAGAGTCTGGCTGTCAAGTATTCTATTAACTGCTTTAAGAACTATGGTCAACTTTAAATGCAAAATGGACTCTGAGGTGTTCTCAGCGGAGGCAGCTGCAGGAGCTGCGGCTTAGGGAAACCACGCCCTGTGCACTCAGGTCTCGCACAGAAGCCAGTGGGGGCCCTGGGCTTTGATCATTGTCGGCCCACGGTGATTTAAGCACAGTTTCATCGGGCGTCACTGAGCATCTCTGCACACCGACTGCTGGCTGCACAGCCGACTGCGTGTGACAACGCTGCGTGAAACGAGCCCGCACACCTGCGACAGTCTCCACCAGAAGTCAGGTAAAACTCCTGATGACCAGAAGCAAGCAGCACCTGACCTAGCGCCGTGCCAGGTGGGCACCGTCTCTGCCTGGCAGCCCACTCATGCCTCACCCCAAATTAGGAAGTCAGCCTTAAAAAAACCTGCTTTCTAAGAAGAGTTTTCACATAGAACCTGTATAATGTTCATTTGTGACCGCTGAATTTCATAACTCATAACCTATATTCTTTTCAGGCAAAATAAAAGGATTAAGAATTTTTTTGTGTGAAAACAAATGGATTAACTAAAAACTAGAGAGTTAAAATCATTATCTCTACAAACACTTAGATGCCTGACGTATGGTTCCCAAACAGGAGCAGCAGCACCTGGAAATACGTTAAAAAACGCAAATTCCTGGTCAGACCTACTGAACTGGGAACTCTGGCCCAGCAGTCTGTGTGTGGCTCTGACGTCACTCAGGTTTGAGAACCATGTCACTAAAGCATGTTCTGCCCACGGCGGGACATTTCGGGGGGCTGACTCTTGGCTGTGCACCATCGCCCAGGCACCGGAGAACACTCAGAACCCTGGCCCGGACTCAGCAGGAGTGGACAGCCAAAATGCCCCCACCCCCAACTTTAAGTGCTCTCTAGGGAGAAGAAGATTGTGTGCCTAGAATCAGATCTTTAGTTAAATTCCAGAGGTATCTGTTCTATGTCTATTTTACCACAGGTATGTATTTAATACCACTTAAGACTTACACGTTTTACAAAATAACTGATCTAAAACGTCTCCTTTACTTTAGTCAAATGTTACAGCTTTAAAACATAATTTATTTTGGTTGTGAAATATACACCTCATTAACAACAACAACAACAACAAAATATACCCCCAAATAGCAGTGTCCTTCAAGTAAGAAATCTCTCGGACCTATAACTGCAGGTCCTCATCAGAAAGCAGGAGCCGGAGGAACATAGCTTCACGGCCAGATCCACCAGCTTTCAGTGGATGTTCTAAGACGGTGAAGGGCAGTTTCCTAGTTGCTATAATGGAAAGTATCCATCACAAGCCCCTAATCTGAATATTAGTATAAAAAAATATTAGAACAATGCATAAATGCGATCTGACAGTCTTACATAAGCAACGCTAGCAGTAATTTGAAAGCAAAATTCCTAGTTGTAACCGATATTAGAGAATAGTCTAAAATCTGAATATATGCAATTAAAATTAATATAAATAAAAAATTAGTATTTATTTATAAGTATGGAAAGGAAACATACTGAGCATTTTTTATGCTAACATGTGTTATGTTTTCATTATACTATAAACATTTTTCTTGAATGATTAATAGGTTTAACCTAAACTAAACTGATACTTAGTATAGAAATATAGTTTCAAGAAAAAGGAGATAAAAATTTGAAACCTGGAAACAAATTCTGAGGTCAAAGTATTTCAATTTAAAAAAATATCTCTAAGGAAAGAAAATGCTGAGAAACAAAAAAAAGTTTAGAAAGCGAATTCACTGTTAATGACATATTCAATAAACATAAATAAGTTACTAAAAATTTAAAACTTATAAAATGAAAACTTACAATTAAAAGACCAATGTCCACATCTTTGTTGGTCATAAAAAGTTCTCTGATTTCTTCACATCGCAAAATTTCCTTATTAATGTACTTGGAATAGTCATTCACAGGTTTGCCATATTTACAAGGCATTATAGACGTATGGTTGGGTCCACAAGCATATAAATAAAATGCCTCTTGTGAACCAAGCTTAGCTCCTGAACAGCAGAAAAAGAAAGTTACTTATTCAAAACACGGCAACCAGAATTCTTCATAAAAAGCAAGAAACAAAGACTTGTGTGTTTTTTTTGCTAGATTCCTTTAGTCGTTCACTGTATCTTCAAAACTGCTAAAGCCTCAATTTCCAAATTAGTGTAATAAGCAAATAACCTATGGCAACTACAGACATAAGATGAATTGAAAAACAGATGCTAGAAAGCAGATTTTTTGTTTGGTTTTGCCTTTTTTCCGCCAGTAATTGGGAACTATACCTCAGTAAATTTGTTTTCAAAATGAAATGTGGATTGGTTTCTTTATTCTTTCCATCCATCCATCCATTCAATAAACACTGTCTGAATGCTACTATGGGCCAGGTTTAGAGACATATTTTTAAAAATCATGTATTTCTTTTTCTCCTAAAATTTGGCATTTTAAAGCAATATACTAAAATTATAAATAGAAGAGACAACCAGTCTAAGCTCACCTGTCATGGGTTATAAAACTGGTTACCACAGGCGTCTCCTCTGGGGGTGGGGGAGGGGTGAGATGTGCGTCTCTACTTTAAATGTGTGTGTCAACTATAAGCAACATCTAGATTATAAAAATGTTAAGCTATTCAAAAAGTACACCTCGGAATCTAGGAAATACAGTGCTTATTAAGTCCACGTGCAGGAACAGGGATTACTGTTTTGTCCAGGATAATTTACTTGGTTTAATACTTGTTAACTGAAAGAAAAATTTGGAATGCTTTGAAGGCAAAAAATATACCACTGAAGAGGAGTAAATTTCCTAGGTCCCATTTTCCAGCCAACTGTAAACACTCTTCTTGGGATGGCGAACAATGGCCGATCATGCAAAACGTTTTATTGCTGTCAGATGACAAACTCGTTTTTCTTGGAAGCATAAAATCCAAAGTAACATCAGGCTTCCTACATTAAAAACAAAGTTAAATCAGTCACTTCAGCGTGGACTAAGTCTTTTTAAAAGTATGAATGTATAATACTGGGGAATTCTTGAACAGGTTTCTCGGTCAGTATCAGACAGCTGGTGACGGGGAGAGAGAGGAGGGCTGATTCTGTTGTCTCTTGGTCCAAGGTGCAGGCAGCACAAAGCCCCCAAGGAGGGGAGCGGAACCGAGATGCCGGTGACCCTACATCAGGCCACAGGAAGCCTGCGACCCGACTTTGCTGCAAGTTTTCTTGGTCTCCTGACTTCTGCATATTCGCCTTCTTGGTTTAAGATGCAACTCTACCCGCCTCCCTGATTTTATCACGAAGTCTCCCCTCTCGGAGTCCTAAACTCTCACGTCCTCTATGAGGGCTTCAAAAACTAAACAGGAAAAGAAAATCACTTCTTCAGGCTTTGCCCTGATGTGGCTCTGAAATGCCAATGCTTCTTTGCATTTTGTTTTTTCAGCCTAAGTCATTACAGACTGTTGATTAGTCTCCTGCTTTTCTTCCTGGTACAGGAATCCTTACAGAAGGCAGAGCAGGAAAAGGTAAAGCAATGCTTTCTCCTAAGAGACCCACACGATGGGGAGTGTAGTTGAAACTGCAGAGTGACAAGCTCTACCCACTTTTTACAAATATTTTAACTCTATACTAAGAAAATTAAGGTAACTTACAGAGACAAAGTTTGTAAATAAGACAAAGGACTCAGAATAAGCTCAGTGGTTAGCTCTTAGTGAGAAATTCTATTTTGTTATATTTATTTAAAAACTTTCCCTAAGGCTTTCTGTTTCATATTTAACGTATAAATTTAACTATTTTAATAGGAATATTTTTAATAAAAAAAGATGTAAGCTAACTTTTTAAAACTGAGGTATAACTGACATCCATTATCGTGAGGTAACTTCTGTTGCTGTACTGGCATCTCTTTCTTGAACCAAGTGGCTGTAACTGAAACAGTACTGCCACCTGGTGGCTTTCTGACTTCATAGTTTTTAAGGGTAAAGAAAACATTGCAAGATGAGTTCAACAAATACTAAAATAATTCATGATCCATGATGTGCCATGTAGTCCTACCAGAATTGTGTGCTGTTCATTAAATAAAAAATAATAGAAACTACTAGTAAGTTATTTTTCAGTGTCATTTTGTATTATTAAAAGTGACCTCTTAAAATGTACCACTTGTAGAAATTATTCTACTAGGTCAGAGAGTGATAAAGACCGTGCCAAATTTAAATCAATAGCATAATGTATTCATCCTTGGTCACCTGCTCATTGTCTATTAAAAGATAAATCATTAACTTGTACCAAATGGCAAAAAATTCCTTCAAAGTGGTGTGGAAGCAGGTGGGTGGGTTTGAAAAGCGAGTGCTCTGGAACCAAGGGCCAATGCTCACGTCAGAACTGGCCCTGGGGACACTCAGACGCTCCTGAGAACGCCCAACGATTAGGTCATGACTCCTGTGTCTCGTTGGCTGGCATGATTTGCCGAAGCTCGGGGGTGGCAGCACCCAGGGTTGGAACGTGGGCTCCATCCCGGGCGGGACTCTAGGTGGGTCTCAGCCGTCCTCCTCCTTACTGTGGGTGTGACTTCGGGTCAGTCACCGTCCCCAGTCTGGGTGTCAGCTGCGTCTCGTGTAAAGTACACCTGCTGCCCAGAACGGCTGGGAGGGCGATGTGAGGTCATCTGGGTTGAGTGCTCACCACACTGCCTGCGCGCTGCCAAGAGCTCAAGAAACGAGGGTGCGTCGGGGAGAAGGCTGTCCACCTGCAGCCGCAGCCCAAGCCCAGCTGCTCTAACTCGGGTTCTGGGACGAACTCCCGGGTCTGGCTGCAGCTGCCACATAGGCTCAGGTGGTTGTGAAGACGGAACTTCTCAGAAAATACTTTATTCGGAAAGTGGAAATCAAGCTTCAATGATATATTTTCATGTATCTTTTTAGATGAAGAAATCGAAAGTGAAGCCTTGATTCTATTTCCTGTGGGACACAGTGTGGCCTGGCTGCCCTGAAGCCATCCCCCAGCCGGACGGCGGCAAGTGCGCCTCCGGCAGCCCCTCCCCTGCGGCAATGCCGGCCTGCCTTGCCCTGGTTCCCCAGGCCCTCTCCTCCGCCCACCCGGCTAGGCCCCACCTCCTCCCGCAGGCCTCAGCTTAATCTGCGCCTGGATAGGTCTTCCCTGATGTGTCTCTCTTAAGTAGCCTCAAACCTGATAGCCCCTGTCTCGGGACCGTTTGCTACCTTCATGGAACTTGTCACAATTTGTATCCACTCATTTCACTGTGTATCCTCGGCATCTGCTTCCTCACAGGGCTGGGAGTTTGGTTACCACGCCCCCCGGCCTAACACAGCCTGAGCTTGGCGCACAGTAATTCCTCAATAAGTATTTGATGAACAAACAAATGAAAAACAGGTCCCTTTGTGCGAAGGGCACATGCTATCTCCATGGCCTAACCCACCTGGAGAGGTTTCTGAGAGAGCCGGAGGGTTATGCGAAGCCCCTGGCAGAAAGCCTGCAGCATGACGGGTATGCAGTATTTTACCGTCTGTCTGGTGAAATCTGGGCTCCTCGTCTTGGATCAGAGCCTGCTGGCACGTAGCTGCACTGAGTCCGTTCACTCCTTCTCGTGACTCAGCTCAGACTGGTCGCTCCAGCCAGCCTGCTCCTTGCTACACTAGTTTCCAATTCGGCAGCCCTCTGACGTCGTTTTGTTCGGTGAAATACTTCCCACCTCTTACAAATCCAGGACACCTTATAGCTCAGGGTTAAATTTCACATGAAGACATTCCACAAAATGTTTCTTATGAACCTGACCCACAGTTCCCCTAGTTTGTGAAAATCATATAGTAGAATACCCAAACCTGTCACCTGGTATATTCTGAGAGCTCTGTCTTAATCTTATAACCTGTCATATTGGCTTATATTTTTCTCTAGTCATCCTAATTTCTTTTGAAACCCTATGATTTAATTTAGGTATTAGCTTTATTAGCCACCTAATTTAAATAATTCCTTGAGGATTCCCTTTATAATACGTAGGCCTGATGGACTAAATTATAGGTTCAGTTCCCTGATGGAATACACATTCTGCATAAACGTCTACATGTTCAGATTTCCTCTAAACCCAAACATTAATTTTCAACAATTATTTCTATGGGAAATGGATTTTGTATGAAAGCAGTATATAGGAAAAAATATCTAACTTTGGCAAAGATTCCTACATTATTATACAGTGAATTTTATCTATAGTTTTCTGTAATCTTCTTCAGAAACTACAATAATAATTAAACTTAAAATTGTCACTAAAGTTAGTAAGCATTTACCAAAAGTGTGTCCTACCTCTGTCCCGAGACCCACGTGGAGATTTTCCCATGGATGTTCTTTTTTCCCTGGGGCTGCTGTAAGTAGGTGAGTACTAAATGCTGCCACTTGCTTGGGAGGAAAATATTCTCCTGTGATTCAACCTGCGCTAGTAAAACAGCTTTCGCATCATCATTTGAATCCATGCACACACTACACAAAAAAAGAAAAGGTACAGGCTGAAAGCATGAAATTTCTGATCTCAGTATTTAACATGCATAACAAATGTAATGTTAGAAATTTAAGTGAAATTAAAAAGCAGTTCTATTTTTAAACCAACTTGAAAAGCCAGCAGGTCTTTGTTTTACACCATAATTTCTTTAGCTATTTCATTACACTGTTACTTTCCCTCATGAACTAAAAAATAGATTTGGCTCATTTGCTGGTGTTAACAATTTGGGCAATAATTTTCAGAACTCAATTTGCAAAAAAAATTTTCTTCTTATTACATATATAGTCATTGCCCTTTTAGAAATTACAGTTTAATATCTGGTTCATACAAAAATTAATATATATTATACATAAGTGTCTAGATGCTATGATATATTGTTGCTCTAACCTACTTTGAGGGATTATGGAGAGAATTAAGATATAATTTACATAAAGCACTCTGTAACTTTTACAGAGCATAGATCCCCAAGTAATATATTTATTTATTTAAAATTTTATGAAAACAGTATCATACTATTTATACCAATACAAATGGAAGATTGTATCTATACTGGTTAACAAAGGAGATGGTGAAAAAAGACAAGATAGCAAGGAGAATCTAAGCTTATTAGATAATGACTATTAAATATATAATCTGCATGAAAAAGTGATCTGATACCAACAACATTGTAAGACCATCCTATCAGATAATATCTAATAGGATATTTCCATAGATAAGAGGTCCGTAAATATTTAATCTAAAATGCAGTTGAAAATTAACATAATCTATTTTAGAGTCTAAGCATAGATTTTTAGATAGAATAATATATTGTTACAAAGATTATATGAACAGCTGTATCTCTTTTAACAGGAATTTTCTTTCAGCTCTAATGATCTTTATTATGCGATGTCACTGTTATGTCTCTTACATAAATTATTTAAATACATGACCTATTTGTGGGGAGTGGAGGAGAATCATTACCGAAAGATAAAAGAGCCACTGGGGGGATCAGCCCACACTTGGATCATCAGCGCTTTGGATCCCAGTGAAATCAGATGAACACAGCCATCTTCTAGGAGTCTTTCCCCAGGATTCGTGCACTCTGCACCTTCCGGTCTGTTGTCCTCTATGACAAAGGATGTTAGAATGGTCAGTGAAGCAGCTGATAAAAACTGAGTGCAAAAGTGACTTTAAAAGAATATAAGGCACAGTTGTTCATGTAGTAAACTATTTACCTGGAATGTCTGAACCTGACCTGGTCCAAGCAACATTTCCAAAGTTTAGATGTTAACTCCAAAAAAAAAGCACGAGGAGTGAAAACAGTAACTGATTGCATTAAAAATTAAAGTGTTTTAAAATGTATGATAGCTGAAGGCTAGCTGCGGGAATGAACTGACTGCGGTGATGTCACTGCAGGGACCTGTTACCATCTGTGCCATGATTCTTTGATTAGACGGGGCCACTGTGACATCACGGACCCTGGCCCAGAGAGCACACCCTCGTCACATGCCTTGTGCTACCAAAAATCTCTGTAATTATGATAGCATGAGTTTAAAAATTGATCATACTAAAATTCCTTTTAGAAGAATTGTGGTTTGAATATATTCTTTGTTTAGACTCCCTGAGGAGTGGTCTCTGAATATAACTGCTAAGTAGTTCTGAAACCAGCATGTTTCTCTAAGGTAAACGCTCTAGCTTTGGGCCATCTGGCTATTGATCCTGACTCCCCTTTCTCACCACTTAAAACCCAGCACTGCCTGAATACTCACCTCTGCCTACTCCTGTGATTCATGGCCTCAGGTAAAGCTACCTTATTTAAGATGTACCAAAATGTAAAACGCGGGTCCAAGCGTACAGACTTGTAGAGAAGGTAATCGCTATCCATTATCAGACTGCATGTATATAGATCGCCATTTTTCAACAGGTATAACCGCCACCAATTTTTAAGAACACCACCCCCTGGCAATAGTCTTTTAAAAGAAGAGTTAAATTCATTGATTACTTTGAGGACTAAGATATAAGATATAAGATATACAGAGAACTCATATCTGATGTGATATTAAAAAGTGTTTCCTAGTGAATAAATGAGAACAAACTTAAGCATATGATGGATTAATCCTAAATAAAGTTCTTAAATCACAAAAAAAATTAAAAAATAAAAAATAAAAAATGTTTCCATATCCTGAGCTTGTACTAATAAAAGGCTAGAACAAAACCCAGTGCGTACCCAGGAACTCAGAGTAGTAATATTATAAATATTTCTCTTTTTTTAGGTTTATTTATTTATTTAAAAAAATTATTTACTTTAATGGAGGTCTTGGGGATTAAACCCAGCACCTTGTGCATGCTAAGCATGTGCTCTACCACTGAGCTATATCTTCCCCCTATATATTTCTTAAGTTAGTGCTCGCGACAATCTTGAGAGGTAAACATTATATATCCTCATTCCGAGGGTGACAGAATTGAGGTGCTGAGGTTAATAACTTGCTCATTGGCCCACAGCTGGTTTAGTGGCAAAGGATGTGTTATCACTGTAATATTTTCTTCATCTCGCTCTTCAAAAATTTCTGTATGTAGACTACTTTTAAATGTTCTTTTCAAATGTCGATACAAAATCATCTTTCTGAAATACACATTTTTTAATATACCTTTACAATAAGAAATATTTTAAATGTTCCCAATACTTTTCTCAGGTCATTGTGTATGTTTATTCATTTTATAAGAAATGCTTTATATCATCACTGTTTCCACTTAAAACATGAGAGAGAGATCTGCAGTGTATGGTGTGGTGGTGACATTTAAACTCTGGAGTTAAATACAGGTGGGTTTAAATCCCTTTCCATTACTTACCAGAGACATAAACTGGTCTAACATCTGCAAATACGGACAGTATGAGCACTCACTTGACTGAACTGCTGTGAAGATTAAAAATATATATAGAGGGGGAGGGTAGAGCTCAGTGGTAGCGCACGTGCTTAGCATGCATGAGGTCCTGGGTTCAATTCCCAGTCCCTCCATTAAAGAAAAAAATAAAAAGTACAGAGAAAGACCTGAGCAAAGTGACGCAACACAGAAAGCATATCGTTCAGAGCTGTCAGTTCTTAGGTGGCAAAATTCAATTTTAAAAAAAATGTTGTAACCACCTGACACGTTACAAGTTATCTGCTAAAGTTTTTGAAAATGTTTGGCTTCCTAGGCTAACCCGTCAAAGTACGTAAGCAAACCATGCTGGTAACTTGGGAACATGTCTGGGGAACGCAGAAGCAGAGCTCCAGCTGTGGCTATCAGGTGGCATTTCCCAGCCTTCGCTCTTGACTGCCACTAAGGTCTTCCTCTCCAGCTCTAGGTCGGTGGTGGAGGACCTCCCCTGGGAGCCAGACACTAGCGAAGGCCCCATGTCCTGAGAGGAGCTCAGTGGGTGTGCAAGCTTTGTGGGATGAAGAGCCATTGAGGCCAGCACCTCCTATAATCACAACCCCCTAAACATCTGCCATGTCCAGCCATTTGCTCATCCCATGGATCCTAAGAATTGGCCTACCCACTTCACTTCCCACCACCAGAAACTGCCTTTAGCCAGCACGTTCACTGTGCACAGCAGGTTCACAGCAGCATGGTGGTGATTCCATCCACCGTAGCAAGGACTGGACTGAAACTTATCCTAACTCTGGAGGATGGCTGATGCGTATAAACCTGTGACAGGAAGGTGAGGGGCACAGAGGTGACACACAGCATGAGGAGGAGAGCCTGAGCTACAGACGGAGAGATGAAAGGCGGGGACTGCCAGGGGCTGGCCGCCAGGCAGCAGAGGACAGACAAGCGGCTGTAGGGTTTTATCCTTTCCTTTTCAAACATCAGGAGCCACCTTAACCCAGTGGTGGGACCAGGAAAGAGGGAGGAGGTGGGGCTGGTGGTCACCCTCACCTGCACCCCTACACAAGGCAAGAGTGCAGGAGAAAAGGGACTTTTCAAGGCTGTCTGCCGTTACTAAGGCTTCCCGTGAGAAACGCGTGGAGCGTAAGAGCATCGCATCTCAGTGCTCAACCAAAGCTGCCGTCGGCAAGTCCTAGCGCAGTGCACGACGCCGTCCATACCTGTTCCCTCCACACTGCTGCTGCGTAGCATTAAGGATCTGTTTCTTTTCTTTGTCTTCTTCCCTTTCTCTGCAGTGCTCACTGCTTCATGGAGACACTCCACATTAAACCACAGTGAGACGCTGAAGCCTTCCGCCAGGTGCGGCCAGCAGTTCTGCCCCAGCAGCGGCAGGTGGATGGGGGCGACGTGCCAGGAGGAAAGCAGCTGCTGGGGAAAGCCCTCCCTGCCGGCCTCTCTCCTGCGCCGTGAAATGCGTGCCCTTCTCAACAGCCCCATGGCCTTACTGCTGAGAACCCCAGCACACTTCTGTGATGAAACACCGTTGCTTAAATTCGGAGTATGCAGTAAAGGGAAGGTCAGGTACTGCAAAGGACTCATAGTAACGTCACTTTCAACAATTTTCAGAATGCCCAGAAGGAGAATTTCCTAGACAAAAAGAAAACCAAACAAAACTTTACAACCATCTTACAAAGTACATAATAATCTTGAAAGCCAGGTCATAAGTGAAAATACAAACACACATAGACATATCAGCCCGTTTAAATACCACCCCGTCTACCACATCACTGACATGTTCTTTTTGTGTGTGTAGTTAAGATAAAATATGAAAAAGAGATTTCAGTCTGAAAATATATACTCTCTTGTGGTTAACTGGTTTTAGATTTAGATGCTTTTATGGCATAAACCTGAAAGTTACAAGTTGGTTTTAAGTAGGAGAAATCAAACACAGTTACACCACGGATCATCTCCACCAAAGAAAGACATTTACTTCCGAGTAGGCTACAGTCACTTCTCTGGTCTGTTTTTAAACAAGGGCTGGAACCAGAGACCCTGCAGATCCCCCAGACTTCTGAGTGGTATTTATACCGTGACTGTCTTCATAAAACAGAGCGCTCAGTTACTTTCCAGCTTATTTTACATAACTTTTCCCTAATCAAATGAATTTTCTTTCATCTCTGTTTGGTAAACTAAAATAAGATTTTTAGGTTTTATTTATGATTACAAGTTTTTGGTGAAACTGAAATGTAGAATGTCAAAAGGAGATGAAGAAACAATCCTTTAATTAAAGGGAAAAGCAATGACTGAGGAGATTAACCTAGTACAATGCCCTACCCCGGCCTAAAATGACGTCTAATGCTGATTATTACAATGAGAGAAGAACTCAGAAAAACAGGACAGAAACACTCCATAAATTACAGTCGCCCTCAACCGTCTGTCCTGGAGGTCTGGCCCTCCTGCCGCACAGGCTCCCTCAGGTCCGCAAGGCTGCAGAGAGGGTGGAACGGGCGGGGCTCAGGAACGCCCAACTCTGCTTTGAAGCAAGGTGCGCCCAGGTTTCCTGTTTTATTTGCTTATGATTCTAGTCAAGATTTCATTATAAATGGGGTTCTCAGCGAAGAATGCTCAGTCATTAAGTTACACAATGGAGAAGTGATAAAAGATGAGTGAAGAGTGGTTCATTTTCTAAAAAGAATGGCCAATCCTCAAAATGGTTATAATTAAGTTACCATTAGTAACTAAAATTTAGCATTTCTTAAGCACAAAGACTTGGGGTGGGAAGGGGTAAAGGGACTACGACCCTAACAACACGGCTAGTTAGCCAGAACAGTAGTGAAATGATTAAAACACGTGCAAATGATAAAATAATTGAGAACTTCACACACAATAACGTGGACTTGATCGTACAATAATCACATTAAAAGAGGGAGCTTAGTGGTTTCTAAATAATGAAAAAACATTCTATTAAGTATCAGTGAAAACGTTTAAGTATTGCATATTTACTGTACAAGGAGATTTCTCCAGAAATACTCTCAAGAGAAGGATTAGCTCTTCTGAACAAGTTCTTGAGCTCATCAAAGATATCAAAAGATCCACCAATACTCTCTGGCATGCTAAATTAGAGAAAGAGAGAGAGGAAAAAATTTAAAGCCAATACACAGTAATTAAAGGGACCGAATAAACAATTTCGCTGAAAGACATCAAATACTACTGTCACATCTTAAATGGATTATAAATAATCGAATAACCCAAAAATTTGCTAAAGAAATAGCAATATGATTAAATGCAGACCAAGTAATCAACTAACAAAAAACAACAACATTATTTTCTTTAACACTGGTTAGCTCCAAGTAAAATAAACATATTATTTAAGGAAATGTACATTAATACAGTATTTCTTCTTTTTTAAATTTATTTTTTATTTTTTTCTTTCTGGGGGGAGATAATTAGGTTTTGTTTATTTTTTCATGGAGGTCCTGGATATTGAACCCAGGACCTTGTGCACGCTAAGGCGGCACTCTACCACAGAGCTACACCCTTCCCCCTCATTAATACAGTGTTTCTTAAATAAGTTGACACTATTAGGTACCATGAAATAGTCTGCTATTCCTCATCTTGAAAATGTTTAATTTATGACTATAACTTTCTGAATACAAAATTAGATGACATAAATAAAAGTAGATATATTAAAGATTATGAAAACATTTAAATATCACAAACTGTTAGTTTGAACGCTTTCTGTATTCTTTCAGGGGTTTAGCATGAAATATAACTGGTAGCACACAATTTATAAAAATGTTTAGAGTAAAATAATAACTAATACTTGTAGCATACATTACAGGGATCAAAGTACATTTACATGCATTATCTCAGCTGACCCTAATAAAAAAATCCTACAGATTATGTATTATCTGCATTTTGGACATGACACAAATTTCCTGATGTGAAACCAGAGAACAGAGGTTGTGTTTAAGCAACATTTGCTGCAGAAGTGGAGGAAATGATGCAGCAGTGTAACAGCACATATGCCTGGAAAGACACCTGCCATGAGACCACAGCATAGCATGCCCTTTATCCTGTAAGTTACAGGAATCTGCTCAAGGTTTAGAGTAAGAAGGCATATGATCAACATAAAGTGTATGTGCTTGGATTTTTTTTTTTCAGTTCAAAACTGACAGGTTCCAGTTCAAAATGTGGGAACAGAAATATATATACACACTCACACACACACACATATATATTTGCCTCTGTCTACTATGGAAAAGTCACTGAACTAAAGGAACAGAACTACAGAAAGAAAGAAACCTGTAACAGGGGAAGAAAAGTAGGGGAGGCAGTAGACACAGGGAGCACGCCAAGTGAGAGATGTAAAGATATTTCCTGAAGATGGAAGAAGAGATGGATAAAAGAAAAGGCCGCAGCCTGGAATCCCTGTGAATTACAAAGGGGCTCAGAGGAACGGACAGCAGTCTGCCCAGAGTGTGGAGAGGCGGTAAGAAGGGAGCTGCAGACACAGGACCGATAAAAGGTCTGTCTGTGAACACCTCCCTCTCTCCTGGATTCTGAGCAGAGAGCAGAGAGCAGAGAGAGCTCACCTCTTCCTTTATGCCCCAAACCTCTTCTCTAAAGAAACTGAATGGATGGCCAGGCAAAAGCTGAGATGTGCGGTGGGATGTTAGCACCAGGGCTACCAGGCATGGCTGGAAAGGCTGCAGATGGGCCAAGCTGCCTAACCAGGGGGAAAGGCGGGAACAGAATTCAAACCTGAACGCCACTCACCAGGCCCTGCATCCAGGCATCGCGCTGTGCTGCCTGGATAAGGGGGTGCCTTCCGAGCACGAAGACGCTCTTCACTAGCCAAGCCCTATGTGTGGAGGGTGGATTTTTCTAACATACACAAAATGCCACATGGGTAACAGTGGCCCTGAAGTCCCCCAGAAAGTAAAGCTCTCTTCGTTACGGTACTTGGGGAGCCCCTGTCACCCACTGGCACACCCACACAGAGCTTCCCAGCAGAATGCAGGTCAAAAAGAAAGACAGGTTGACTTTTAAAAACATTTGGGGAAGCCTCCAACAGCTTTCTTAAATAGAAATGGGCAAAAAAAGATTCACAAAATTCTCAAGAATCAGCAATACAGAAGAGAGAAAATCAAAGATATAAAAAAAAACAGATTGATAAACTGAATGCAGAAGAAATGAGATAATTCAGGGGAGGGAAGAACCCTGTGAAACGCCCACTCCTATGCCCAGACACATGCACACGTACACGTACACACGACGGATTCCACCCTCCCGTGAAAGTGGGACAACCGGAAAGCAACCGAACAAGAAGGGGCTCTTAAAGACCAAAAGGCAATTGCCAACCTTAGAAAATAAATAAAAGGTTGGAAGAGAACTGAAGAGATCTCCCAGAACACAGCACAGAAGAGCACAGACAATGTGAGGAGCGAGGAGACATACACAAAGTCAATTCAAGAAGGCCCAGGATTATAATTAGATGTAAGAAAACGGGAGCAGAGAACACGAAGAGGAGAAAATTACTCTTAAGAATAATAAATCTTTGTGAACAGAGGCTGGACCTTCCTAGATGTGATACCAAAAGCATGGCAACAAAAGCAAAAGCAGGTAAGCTGGACTTCATCAAAACAAAACATTCATAACTCAAAGTGCACCACCAAGAAAGTGAGAAGACAGGACAAACAACAGGAGAAGGGATTTGCAAACCATGTATTTGACAAGGGGCTTTTATCTAGAATATATTAAAACTCTTACAACTCAATAATGAAAAACACAAATCATCCAATTTTAAAATGAGTGAAGGACTGGATAGAAATTCCTCCAAAGAAATCCAATGAAGATACACAAATGGCCAACTGGCACATGAAAATATGCTTAATATCATTAGCCATCAGGAAAACAAGCCAAAGTCACAAAGAGATATCACTTCACACCCACAAGGATGGATGCAATCAACAAGACAAGTAAGTATCGGCAAGGATGTGACGAGAGCAGAGCCCTCATGCCCTGCTGCGGGGGTGTGAAACGGTGCAGTCACTCCGGAAACCAGTCCGGCACTTTCTCAAATGGTTAAAGTAACCATATGACCCCAAAGAAATGAAAATATATCCAAATAAAAACTTGTACATGAGTGTTCACAGTAGCATCATTCATAAGAGAAAAAAAATGAAACCAAAATGTCTAAATGTCCTTCAACTGACAGATAAATAAAACACTGAATACTATTCAGTGAAAGAAAGAACGGAGAAAGAAAGAAAGAAAGAAAGAGAGGAAGGGAGGGAGGGAGGAGAAGAGTAACTTTATAGGGAGGAAATCTAACAAACAGTCCTCAATTCAGGCGACCAAGGTCCACAGTAACAGTCATCAGTCGTGCTGGAAGTATGTGCCCCTGATATGACGTGATGAAAATGGCACTTCACTTCTATACAGACCTTACTCCCAAAAGCCGCACTGCAGTGTAATCATGACTTTTTGACAAAGGTGACAAAGAAAAAGGGGAAAAAGATTGTTTTTTCAACAAATGGTGCTGGGAAAATTGGAAATCCACATGCAAAACAATGAAGCGGATCCTTACTTAACACCATATAAAAAATGAACTCAAGATGAATCAAAGACCTAAAATTATAAAAACTCTTAGACGAAAACTCAGGAGAAAAGCTTCATGACATTGGATTTGGTAGTGATTTTGTGGATATAACACTAAAGGTACAGGCGACAAAATTAAGCAATACACAAACTGGACTTCATCAAAATTTAAAACTTTTGTGTATCAAAGGACTCTATCAACAGAGTAAAACGGCAACCCACAGAATGGGAGAGAATATTTGCAAATCATAACTTGATGAGGGATTAATATCCCGAATACATAAAGAACTCCTAAAACTCAACAACAACAAAAGAAACACTCTGACTTTAAAAAGGATAAAGGATCTGAATAGACATTTCTCCAAAGTAGATACACAAACGGCAGATAAGTACACGAAAAGATGCTCAACATCACTAATCATTACGGAAATGAAAACCAAAACCACAGCGAGACACCATAATGAGAAAAACATCAGACAGATTCCCAAAGAGGGGTGTTCTGCGGTATGATCAGTCCTCCCCAAGACTCTGAAGGTCATCAAACAAGGAAAGTCTAAGACGTTGTCACAGTCAAGAGAAATCTGAGGAGACATGACAACTGAACGCAATGTGTGTCCTGGATAAGATCTGCTTAAATAGAAAAAGGATATCAGGTAAACACTAAGGCAACGTGAATAAACTATGGACTTCAGTTAATAATAATGTATCCATATAAGTTCATTAATTGCAGCAAATGTATTATAATAATATTAATCAGGGAACTCTCTGTACTATCTGCTCAATCTCTCTGTAAAGCTAAAGCTGTTCTAAAAAATAAAGTCTATTAATAAACAAATTAAAAAGCAATCCACACGAAACCAAAAATAAAATGAAACAAATGATTTTTAAAACCCTGAAATATTGATACATGCTACAACATGGATGAAAACACTATGCTAAGTGAAAGGAACATGTCACAAAACCCCCCCATTCCGCGTCTATGCAATACCCAGGACAGGTAAATCTGTAAGACGGGGACTAGATGAGTAACTGCCAGGGGCTGGGGAGTGTGTGTGTGGGGAAGTTAACAGGAAATAGGGAGTGGCTGCTACAGGGTATGGGGTTTCTTTTGGGGTGACGAAAATGTTCTAAAATGGACAACTCTGAATCTGCTAAAAAACACCGAACTGTATACTTCAAATGGGCAAACTGTATAGTACATGAATTACACCTCAATTATATCGCAAATATATCTCAAGTATATGAATTATATCTCAATAAAGCTGTTATTAAAAGACAATGGAATAGAATTTCTCAAAGCTGAGCTGGAACTAAGTCTTCAGATCACAAAGGTCCACTAAGTGCCTAGCACAGTGAATAAAAATATGCCCATACGCTAAGTAAATAAGTGGGAGAGAAAGGAAAGCTTTCCTTATACTAAAATCCCAATTAATCAATGAAGGCAGAATGATGGGAAGAGAAAATCACTATTTGGCAAACACCACAGCAGTGACCACTGACGTCAAGAATCACCTATGAACGCTAAAATCAGTGGGTTAAAGTAGGACGACAAAAGGGTATTAACGCAGTCTCAAGTTATCTCCCCACGAGATACTTACTAACTAGAAAGAGAACATATAACTTTACAATGGAGACACCTGGCAAGATGCCGCGTTAGCCAAGTGATCAAAGTCGCGGTCACCAGCAATAAGACGCAGGCATCACAACTTCAAGACAAGGTGCACTGAAGAAGGCAGACCCCACGTCCGAGCTGTGCCTGCCCCAATGATAACCTGAACTTAGTCATAAGGAGACGTCCGACAAGCCCAAGCTAGCCTTTTGTGATGTTAGCCTTAATCCCAATTAAAAGATAGGTTTCTCCAATTAAAATCTAGGTTTCTACACGGGGTGTGTCATATAATCATATTATACATTCATCATGAATTTCTCAAAAGTCTGTGAAAGGACAGAGCAGAGAGTAGGTGTGCAGTCGATATCTGATAAAGCAGCAACAGTGCTCAGACTGCGTTCCAGTCCCCGCAATGCCACCTCTATGTGCACAGCCCTGAACAACTCATTCAATCCCTTGGAATCTAGATTTTCCTCCCATGAACTTGATACTTATACTCTTATACTGCACTGGTGGTTCTGAGAAACAAGAGAGAATGCACATAAAGCTACCATGAAACCGCAGAGCACGGTGCCAACGGGAGTCATTACTGTCAACTCTTCATTTCACACAACAATAAATAGTTTCAAAGCTATTGTTTAAAACTAACAGTTTCAACGCACCTTGAAAATCAGAATCAGCCTGTGTTAAAATACTCAAGAACCCTCCTAAAAGAGTTTTCACAGTTCCCTGAAGATTCAAAAACAAAACATTAGAAATTACATTTCTGACCTCATGAAAGCATGAAGCAACTGCAATGTCACAGTAAGTTACTCGATAGCCTACCATATATACATATATATATATTTAAAAATAAGCGGAAAGAATGCTAGATGTAGGATTACACATAATTTTCATTTTACTTTTCATACTGTTTTGTTTTCTGATTTTTTAAAAATAATGACCATAAGTTAAAATTAAATGCAATTTAAAAAACGTTACCCATTCTCAGAACCATACTAGAATTCTTATTAGTTAGCCAATTACAACATTAATTTTTATGCTACTTCGGAGAACTACAGAAATAGAAGACTTTAGAATTTCCACTTACAGGTAAAAAACATACCTTAAGGTACTATAAAAGACATAATAATTTTCAGACAAGTTGGGTTATATTTAAAGGAAATGAGTACTTGGGGTATGAGCGTGATGGATACTGGTCACATTTAACTAAGTACATCTTTTACCTGCTGCATGAGTAGGAAAACGTTCTTTTCTTTCTGCCTGATGATTTTCAAAAAACTCTCAAACACGTGGGCAAGCACATCAAGTTTGGCTTTACCAGCAGAGAGCAAATTTAATTCCAGCATACAAATCTCGGGATAAATTATTTCCCCTTGAGTGAGGTTTTCAAGTAAGTCATTAGGACTGCTTGATGCACTGAAACTTTCTGCTTCAGGCTTTAAGTCCACCCCTAAAAGGGGAAAAGAAAAAACTTATTTTTATTTCCCAAACGGTGAATAAATATGTCAAATCTCACTCATCATTTAGAAGATCTAGTGGCAAAAGTGCTATTTATAAGAAGGTCTCATAAAACCTTTTCCTACTACCTGGCTTTTGATTACAGTAAGTATTATCAAGAATCAAGTCTTACGATATTTGAGTACTCAATGAATGAGTAGCCCTAAAAGCAACTTTGATCTTCAACAGAGCCACAAATATTATCAACAGTCATTTTAATGGACATGTAATACAGATTTAACACACTCCTTTGACAAAAATGGAAAAAAAATACTATCTCAAACTTTCTGACCCCAAAATACCTAAATCACAGGGTAGTTCATTTGCCTGCCCATACCCCTGTGAAAATAGTAGGTTTGGCTATTGGTTGCACGAATTTTATACTTTGCCTTCTTCATAAGGGAGAAACAGACACTGTCTACCTGAAAATTACATTTTGGAAAATTTAACTGTTACACCCTTTAAAGAAGCCGCTATACTCTAGAACAAAACGTTCACATAGGAAACAAATTTATAAAGAAATTTATAGATTCTTTAAAATTCAGATCTAGTAAGCAAGCTTATAAAAAGGAGGAAAACTGCCATTATAAAATCATGTCTGTACTATGATAAAACCAATATCATTAAACCAGTATTTTTTCAAAAGCACCTGCTCAGGAGGTAGGGGGAAAGGTGAACTGCAGGAAGGTGGTCGAAAGGCACACACTTCCAGTTATAAGACACACGAGCACGAGGGATGTATTGCGCACGGTGACTACAACCGCCACTGCCGCTCAACACACAGGAAAGTTACGAGAGGAGATTCTCATTACCAGGAGAGGTTTTCTCTTTTTCTTTTAAATTGTTATCTGTATGAGATGAGGGATGTTAACCCACTGTGGCAAACATTTGACAATATATGTAAACCTAACCATCATGCTGTACATCTTAAACTTACAAGTGATGTAGGTCAACTATTTCTCAATAAAACTGGAAAAAATAGTTTGTTTAATAAATCAAGTGACTGATACGAATATATACGTGTGACTTTCAGTTTGTGGCTGTTTCTTTGTTCTTTTCACTCTCTTTATGGTTAAAAAAAAAAACCAAATAAACCCAAAGAACAAACGAAAAACACCTGCTGTGGGTCCATCAAGCCCTGTAAGTAGGACGTTGGTGATTACTCCCACTCACTCGGTGGGAGAGAGCAGGCAGACCTGAGGACGGTGAAGTGCTATACGCTCAGTGAAGACCCAGGGCGCTGGCACAGTCACAGGCCAGCACAGAAGCAGGTGGGGCCTTCCCAGAACCCTCCTGGCTCTGATCAGTCCACACGTTCCATTCTACCCAGATTATGCCCAGAAACAAAGGGTCATAGCAACTGTAGTTTCATCCTAAGGACAAGCTGGGCCGCGTGAACTAAAAGGAAATCTGTGCTGCAGCCTCCCCGGATGCCACAAGACGTCTGCCTTCCTCGTAGTATTTATTCTTTGTAGCAGACTGCCTGCAGTGCGCCCCCCCCCCCCCCCCCCCCCCCCCCCCCGTCCAGTGTTTGTCTGGACAGACCTTTCTTATTTAGGCCTCAGTGTAAACATATCTTCAGAGGGGCCTTCTCTGACCGCCCGGGTGCTGTCAGACCACCTTGCTTTGTTTCTTCATATGCTTATTTCTGATACTTACTGTCTTTTCCTCTAGAGTATCTATGAAAGCAGGGACTTCCTCTACCCTGTATTCTTAGGCACTCAGTCAACCGTGGTGATAACAAAATACATTTTTGTTTTAAATTGCCTCCAAGGATGCCAGAATGTGTTGTCAAGATCAAAGCGAACGATGATGCAATGCATTTTTTAATGTAAGGCAATACAAGAGCCTAACTTGCTAATTAATAAGCCGATTTGCAAATCCAATCTCAAGAACTTCAGTGATACTTTACCATCATCTCGGGTTTCACTGTCCTCAGGGTTACTCTCACTGTCTGCTTCATAACCTTCTTCTTCCACCAACAATTTAAGACCACAACACTGAGAATCCTCGGCTTCTTCTGAAAAATCACCGGGCTGGGATGACAATTCTTCTTCAGACTGGTGACTCTGTAAGATCAGTGTAATTGAAAGGCAAAAGTTGCAATGTTTGTTCACTTTTATTAATAAAGTATTTATTACCCAAAAGTCATTTTAAGGACAGCTTCAGTATTTCCATTAAGAAAAAAAAATCTTAGGAATTGATATTAACCATTGCACATGATGAAATTCACACAGTGTAATTTTCCAGAATCTCTCAGACAACTTAACACCTCAAAAAATAGGTGTCCTAACAGATTAAGCTATAGATCATTTCAGTTTTACTGAAAAATAAGTCTAAGAAATTTCATTTCAGTACTATAATAGGAAATGAGTAAAACCCACAATTAGATAGAACTAGTCTTCTTACAACTTAATTACCTCTTAATTATACTTCTTGTAACTTAGTAAATATATCTTATTTTTACATGTTTGTTCATAGAAAAAGACTTTTTTCATAGGATTTTAATAAATAGTATGTTTCATAAACTAGATAACTGGAGAAGACGCGAAAAATTTTCGAGGAGATTAGTTCTAAGATTTCAGAATGCAATTGTCTACACAAACACCTCCAGAAATTCCAGCATTAACTCCCTGTGCAATATCCCACGGCAGGAAAGTTTTCTTTTCTTACAAAAACACTACTAATATCTCCACTTTAGAAAATGCCCTTGAAGAAACCCAGAGCACTCAGTCACTGCAACATTAATAAAAGGTAGAATAACTTTTTAAAAATAGGTATGGTAGGTATTTTAACATTTTAGGTAAGTGTTTTAACGTTTTTCAGGTAACCAACTGAAACCAAGTCAATAACATGATGAAGGCATTGTAGTTATCTCAGTAAGTTTTTAAGTTACGACAAGCAGTAATAAAAAATATTATGGCAGAAGATTATAAAATGTCATATGTATGTCTAGACAAGGAATTAAAAGAGGAGTTACATAAAGGACAGGTGACAATTAACTAAATGTAAAAGAAACACGTAAGGAGGAGAAAATTAATGAAGTATGTGTCACAGTTTCAGGAAAAAAATTAAAATAGTTCTCTTAGAAAAAAATGTCCTGGGCCCCACTCCCAGAGCCCTCCTCCTTGTGACCGATGCGAGTCAAGTGTGCCATCCTATAGTAACCTAGTATGAAAAGGAATATAAGTATTCATATGGATGACTGCAACATACTGCTGTGCACCAGACACTGACACATTACAAAGTGACTACACTCTAATGAAAAAAATTCACTGTTCTAAGTCTTAAAAAAAAAAGAAAAAATAAAAAATGTTAACACGAGCTGAAAAACCATGATAGCCATTTTTCTATGCAAGAACTAGTCATTTTCATGTTGAATGATTTAAAATGAAAGTGAGTAGAGAGCTTTGGAAATATTACCTGTACCAGCAGGGGATCAGATACGACATCGGGAGTCATCACCATCCCTGAATTAGCACTTAGTAAGCTATCAGTTATGCGTAAGACTTATCAAATAATAATTTCCATCTTACTAGAAGTAATTCCTGGTAAATTTACAGGTGAGATAAGGAGAAGCATGTCAGACTGCTCTCCTGTTTGTGTGAGACAGGCACTCAGTAAACAATGCTCATCCCAGAGGATGGAGACAGGACCCGTCCAACTCACTGGACCAAATCCTGGCCCATGTGTTTTTACCACATCCATTGGTGTCTTATTCCCACCCCACACACTTCTGCCTCTGCGAGTCACACCCAAACAATACCACCATGTGTCATTCATACCTTGTCAGTCATGGCATCACTGGGTTCAAAATCTGCTGAATGATCCCCCAGAGCAACTCGAAGCAGGGCATCAAATAAAGGCTTTGCTAATTCTGTTTCAACCACCTTGGACAGGGAAAGACGGTCCTTCATTTCAAGCAATATATTTTCCACTGACAAGTTCTAAGGTAAAATAAAAGAGACTAAGAATATGAATAACATGCTTTTAGAAAAAAGTTAAACAGTGACAAAATAAATGATAAATACTTACTTAACAAGTAGAAAGCTAGTCCATTTATTTGCAGTTGATATGAAATGAAAATGACTATAAATAGCTTTTACACACATGCTGTTACAATTAATAATAACATTTTAACCTGTCAAATGCTTTACTCATCTTCTTTGGTTTTGAATTTCAATGTATCATAAACTAACAATATTATGCAAAAAAAAAGATTTGTTGAAACTTCAGTATTTTGATTAACCATCTCTAGATTTTACAAATTCCTTATTATTAGAGTTTCCTTTAGACTCTAAGAAGCCTACATTCTAACCCTTTTCTCTTCCTTCTTTACTCCTTCCCTTCCTCCCTGATGGGAACCCTTGCCGCTTGCCTGTGTCCCTCTATTCAGGGCCGAGGCCGTAAGGATGGGTAGGAAGCTGACTTCTCCCTTAAGGGTTTCTGAGTCCAATGTGAGACACAGAGACACCCAGACAAGATATGATGACGAGCATACTGGAACCGTAAACCAAGTTCTCCCAGAACAGAAAAGAGAGAGGGTGCCTGAGAGGCCTGTCAAAGTGTCCAGAGGAGGGACTGGAGGAGGCGGACACTGAAGACCAGGTCAGAGGGGGGCAGGCACAGAGGCCGAGGGAGGGATGTGCCAGGCAGCGGAACATGTACACACGTACATAAGTAAAGACAAAGGATGGCATCTTGAGAAGCTGTTGGCTGGGTAGGGCTGACTGCAGCGTGACAGGAAATGAGGCTAAACATGGACGTGGAAGCAAGCGGTGAAGGGCTCTGCATGCTGCACTAAGAGGGGTCTACTTTAATTGTGAGTAACGTGGATGCATCAAGACATCTTAGACAGGAGGTGACGTGGGGGCTGGGACTGCAGTCGGGAGAGCCTGCTGGCTGGCACAGAGTTAGGGGTGGGTTCATAAGGAAATAAGCGATCCGCCGTATTCAAAGATTTCTGAGAAGCAGGGCCTGAAACTGAAGATTCCTTTTTTGCTGAGTTGTGCTCTGGGAGAAATTTGTGAAGGCATGAGGGAAACAAAATCTGTCAGGGAAAGAATCCAGGCAAAGATGTAGCTTCAGAATCAATGTCTAGGCACAGCCTAACTCCATGGGAAGCTGGAGAGCCTGCCCTGCACCTCAGGGCCCATCCCTACCCCTGGAGCCACACCCGCCAGTCACTGGCTCCAGCCCCCTTCCCTCGCCAGCCACGGGCACTGCTGGGAGACGTGTGCAGCTGTGAGTCCTGTGCGGCAAATGTCTGCAGCGGGTGGCGGACCTCCAGCCTGGCAGGGCACTGGACAGAATCACACCTCCTATAAGACGTTACAGCCTTGAAACACGACGTCCCCTCATCTGACTTTTAATGTGTATCTAATGCCTTTCAGGGTTGGTAGACCTGTCTCACATGGGTTTTGTGTGCCAAACTGCAAGCTTCCTGAGGGCAAGAACCGGGTCATGTCCTCCTCCACGTCCTCCACAGAACCTGGCAGCGGGCTAAGCGTCCAGGCGCTTCTCAAAACTTAGAATCTTTGGAAAATCAAAGTGACGTCAGCACTATGTGAGAAGCGGGACGAAGGCAAGTTATTACCTGATGAGCTGGCTCCAGCTCCATCTTCTGCTGACTAGCTCTGGTGCCGTGGAGACAAATGGCCAGAAGAGCCTCCAAAAGTCGAATGCTCTGAAGCGAGGGCCCACTTTCTCCAGGCGTAAATACCTTTGCTTCCTCGGGAGCAGCCTCGGCAGCTGAAGTCTGCCCCACGTTTACGGAGGACAGGTGCTGTGACTCCAGCTCACCTGAACCACCAGCGCTCGTTTTCAGGCCGCCCAGTTCTGACGGAGCCAGGTGACCTCTTACAGTTAAACATAACAAATCTTCCTTCCCGGGGACCTCAGATTGAGAAGTTCTGCTTGAATCTTGGTTTTCGCCCACATTTATAGCTCCTTCCTTTTTCCCTTGCTCCTCTGCAGAACCTGTGAATAGTTTCTGGATTATCATAAATATCAGTGTATGGCATACTCGGAAACCACCAAGCCTGTGAAACTGTTTCTGGAAAACGGGACTCAGCATGTAGATCCACCGACACATGGCCCAGATGTCTGCCGCGCGGTGCATCTGTTCGGGCGAAGGCAGGATGAGGCTCTGGACAGACAAGCATGGCAGGACGCACTGCAGAGGCTCGCTGGCCGTGCTGTCGTAGCCGGAAGTGTCTTCCGACTCATTGGCTGACTCTCTCTCACACTCGGCTTCTTTGCTCACACACAAGAACGCCACGCAGAGGAACAGGTTGATCGTGCTGATATGGACATCCTGGGTGACAGACTTCTGTTTCTTGGGATAAGCGTCCTTGAGGCGGGCATAAAATTTGCTAAGACTCTGAGAATCTGAATAAGCGTGCTGGTCACGCAAAGCAGCTACACTGAAAGATGACGACTCCTGTTCAGTGTCCATCCCATCAACAGCTGGAGTTGAAGAGCCTTTCTGCTGTTCCCCTAGGCTGATTATCAGAGTTTCAAACGCTTTTAGCGAGTGATTTCGAATACCATCTAAGTAATTTAATTCAATTATTTGATTTACTCCATTACAGTTTAAAAACAAATCTCTTATTACCCTATGAGAGGAAAAAAATACAAGAAATGTTACATATAGCAAAATCATTTATAAATAGGAACACATACTGCTTCAATATGCCGTCACCACAGACAGTAAACACTGCCTGTTCTAGCTCAGCAGTCACCTGGCTGCAGTCCCTGGTCAGACAGGACCAGGGTCTCAAGTTGCTTCCTCATTAGTTTCACGTCCCGCTTCAGACACTGCAGACACGACTTCAGCAGCATTTGAAAACAACACATTACATGCTTCTCAAGTTAAAAGAAGCAGATCAGGGAAGAATACTCTCCTCCAAACGGCAACTTTCTCTATAGAAATTCTCAAAGCCACAGCCACCACCAAACTTGAGATGGACACTCTGAAAGCAGGCAGGCATTTGTGTGTCCATCTGTCTGCCTGCCTGATGGTTCACTCAGGACTTTTCTTTATTTTCAATCTGTACCTCATAAAGGGAAAGAACCAAACCACAGATCTGAAGTTTCTCCAGCTCTATCTCAGGTGAGACTCGTGGGTCTGGATCACTGGAATCTGAGTAATAACTTTAATATAAATTAGCTCAGCAAAAACCCAGGTTGTCCAAAAATATGCCAAGGAGTTATTAAACTTTCAAATCAAAGTCAGGTCTATGTAAACACTGTCACAATGACAGGAACTTTTTAAAAATGATTGTAAAGATAATGATCACAGGTAGGTTATATTTTAAGTTTTTTAAATGGTATTTGCATTACTTTCAAAGGCCAGACTATCTATCAGAAGCAACTTTATTTATAAAATTATTTTTTAAGTACCAGAGTTGACAATCACAAAATCTGGAAAACTCATTGGTGGGATTCTAAGTAATTTTAATTTTCTTCTTTTGCTTACCTGATTTTCCACTTTTTCTACATATATTGCTTAGGTAATAAATGTAAATATGGTATTTAAAAAATAATAATCTCTTTAATTTCACTGCCATGATAAATAATCATTTTATATATGTGCATATTTTACATAATTGTAAATAAGTGGATATTTTAATTTTGTATATCTTATTAATAAAATATTATAAACATTTCCCCGTGTCCCAACATCTCTGTAAACACTTTTTAATAGCCAATAATATTTCATCAAGTAAATATAAAATAACTAATCTTGCCCCTGCTGTTAAGATACCTGTGTTGTGTCTATTGCTTTCTCAGAAATATATTTAAAATGTTATTTTCCCCCAGAGAAATTAAAATCAATGGTATTATCCTCTTCTCTATTACCATCTAGTAAAAAGAAACAAATTAACAGATAAATAAATGGTAAAAAGAATCTGACATGGGATGGGAACATTTTTTTGGTGTTAAACTAAAATGAAGTCCTAGGATAGAATAAAGGGTAAAGACATTCAAAAGCATGCAATATGAAAAAAAATTTATACACACACGCACACAAACCTTGATTTAAGTAGGGTAGGTAGGGTTTTTAAATAAATCTGAAGCACTTCCTGGGGCAGACACTGATGATGATGGCTGCACACATGAGTCTGCGCTGAAGTAATGCCGAGCTGTTGACAGTGATGTGCTAGTCTGACTCCCCTTTGGAGCACAGGATTAAAGATGTAGTTATACAGTTTCCACTGAACAACTACATTGCCTTTCTGGATTAAACTGCAGATGTGATTTGCAATCTGTACACTCTGTAACCTGTCTTCCTCAAAAACAAAGTTCTGATAGGCCGCTAAGGCATCCCATTTCCACAGCAAGTCTTCAGCGCCGCTGCTGGGCAGGATCCCTTGACACCTGTAAGAAGGACTGGATAAACCTGACGAAGGTTCGGCAGCACTGGAGTCTCCCTGCAGGGTCTCTTCTAACTTGGCGAGCTGATCAGCGTCCACGGTACAAATATTGCAAGCTGCCTTCTTGATTTTTTGTGGTATCTCGGCTCCTCCTAACTGATCCAAAATTAGTTTGTTAAGAATATTCAGTATATGCTGCTGAAAGTTTTTCAGCGCTGGCAACTTAAAAGCGTGGAGCAAAGGAATGATCACGGACTTGGGGTCCATGCAACAGCAGATGCCGATGCTCTGAACCCCTGACAGGATGTGGACGCACGTGCTGCTCAGGGAGGCCTGCTGCAGGACGCGCAGGCACCGGTGCGCGCACACGGCGATGCAGCAGCACCGCTCCGGGTAATAAACGTCACCATCTGCCGTCTCTTCGAATGGGTTTTTGGAAACCTGGTTTTTAAAAGCCGACACCAGAAGACCTGAGAGATCTCTGTGGTGATGCATAAAGTGGGAATATTCACAACGCCTGTGCCTTCTCCTTGTACACATCGACTGGTGAAGCTGCTCTGATTTCACTTTTTTGACAGTGCTCATAATTTTCATCACGCTATTTATTAGGGCTTTCAGATGTTCTGAGGCCTCGGGAGGGACTCCCTCTCTTAAAACCAGCCATTCCATCTGAAGAACTGCTGTTTCAAATAAATTAAATCCGTGATGCTGAATGAACTCTTGAACCAGATCCATGGCCTGACTGAAGAAGAAAGGGTTTGAGGCTGCACTTTGAAGACTACAGATCAGAATCTGGAGAACTCCTTCCAGAAGCTCGGGCAGAAGAAGGGCTCTGTGGCGGTACCTGGGAAACACAAAGTCCTCCTGAACCTCCCGTAGTGTTTTCTTTTGTCTCGGTGCAAAAGGGTCAGGCTGCTTTTCTAGGCAGGTTCTAATTTTTAAAGCTGCTCTAAGCAATTCGGTTAAATTTTTTCTGAGACTTTCTGGCATTGTCTCTGCGGTACTAATATCTACCGACATGAGATGCAACACCGTGCGAAAAAGCATCCGTTGAATCAAAGCCACGGGTTCTTCGGTCCAACCCGCAGAAACCATCTGACTCTCCAAACTGTCGCTGAGATCACGGCAGTCCCCAAAACCTGCTAGGAACTCGGTCAGTGTCGGCACTACACTGGCTGCTAGGGCAGAACTATGATTCAAGGTAATGTCAAACTTACAAACTTTCTCTAATAAGGATAACAAAACATGACACAGGTCAAATGGAGAATTGCTCATGTGCCTGATAATAGACAAGGCAGCCGACTCACTTAAAATGTCAGTGTTTGACTCCTGTCTTGGAATGGTCTCCCTGGAATTGTCCAGAGCCATGGCAGCAGGAGGAACCTGCTCTTCTTTGGTTGATGAGCGGTCAAGCTCAGCGGTGAGGAGGTCTTCTTTAGGAGACTGGGTTACCAAACGCTGCAGCAGGTGGGACCTCCTGTGCTTACTCACTGCCACACTCTTGTCATCTGAATTGGCTTCCGAGTCAGAGGTGGAGAGCTGGGTCTTTCTCGCGTCTCTTACAGAATAGCGCTGGGTAGTTTTACGCTGTCTTCTGCTTTTTTGAAAAACGTTTACTTTTGCAGAAACCTGACCAGCTGGGGCACTTCCTTCTGAATATACTTTTTCCTGAGTAGATCTTTGAGAACTAGAGCTCTTTTCTTTGGTCAGGATGATATCAGCTGAGAACGGCAGGTTAAAATCTAACGAAATGAAGAAAGAAAATTTAGAATAGCTCACTATGGTGCGAAACTCAATTTGCATAGGTGAGTCCCTCTTATTTACCATCCACTCTAGGTGTGTACCCTCAGTATATTTTTATTACAGCACTGATTTCCTTTAGCGCTTTGCTGGTTCACTTCCTCCCCACACCTGTCCTGCTCATAGTAAGTACCAGGTGGCATTAGTTCAAAGGACACAAACTGATTTTGAAAACAACAAAGGAGAAGAGAATTAGGAAAGCAGTGCTGGCACGTGGCACTACCACCCCTACCACTGTACGGACCTCCAGTGATGCCATGAATTAAGACGCAGGGGTATATTAGTCTCAAAAACAGTGTTTTGTTCGTAGCCCTGATACACCTTGGGAACAGGAAGATTCTCCAAAGTCACACAACAGTACCAATGTCCTCCAAGACTGAGGTTAAAAGAGTTATGCGTTTGAAACATTCACTGCATGTGCTCCACACTGACCAGGCACAGGCACGTCCCTGTTTCATCCTCGGTGCCTGGGACCAGGGCCTGCCATGTGGTCACCGCTCAATACCTATTTCTTGGGGAAATGAAGAAACCTCCATACTGATGAAAGAGATAATGAAATTGGTCTTTCCATTTGCAATAATAGGGAATAAAATCTATATGAAACATAGAGTTGCAATTTAGAATGAACAAATTAAAATCTGTAAATAAAAGGTTTGTGCTTTAACTAAAAGAGGCAGGGATGGGGTGGGGTGTGCTTAAAAGGAGTCTGACAAATTACATGCAGGCAAAAGATACAGGCAATGAAGACAGCTTCCCCCAAAAGATCACTAATTAGATTTCTTGAGTAATTAATTTGTGAATTCTACAAACTCAGAAGAAAATAAGGGCAGAGTTGGTGAGTCAATAAACAAGCAGGATAACATTGTAAGACCTTAGATAACGCCTTAAAAAGAAAGCTCCACATCAGAGATGCATTAAAATACAACGTAGGAGGCTTTTTGTGTTTTGTTTTTAACCCGAGAGACGCAGAAGCACCTCACAAGTCTCACATTCCAGAAATGGTCACGGGGGGAACTGCGAACTCTGCCACTGAGACATCTAAACTAAGTTTCATACACTTATTATGCTATATATGTACATTTTTTTTCTGAATCAGAATTCTTATCAGAATCTAATCAGAAAACCGTAAGTGTAATAATTCTACCCAGTCCTGAAACAAAATATTACTTCAAATTTATCCTTTAAAAGCAAAATTAAAAAAAAATGAAACTGCAAAAGCCATTGATTGAGTGCTGGTAAGAAAAAGAAGTCTTTAAAATAAGTAAGGAAGCTTTCATTTCTTTCTTCAAACTTTTACCCTGCACTTAGCGAGCGTCCGTTTGCGCATCTGGACACACGTCTCCTGCCAAGTGCTCCACCTCTGCGTGTTATTTGCTAATCGTCGCTGCATCCAAATCCCCTGAGAAGCACCATGGTTTTCGTTTTATTGGAAGAAATAAAGATGTATTTGCCTAGAGAATTTTTCACGTTAAGTAGCACACTAATACGTGCTGTTCTGAACCTGAACTGTATCAGCCGTTACGTCAGAAGTAGCTCTTCAATGAGACTTTCCCCCAGTGGAACTCTGATAAAACAAGTAGTATGAGAAAGAAAACAAACATACCAGCTGCCTTCTCCTCTTGAACAGGGATCTTCCAGACCAGGGGGAGCAGCGACAGAAGCAGGGTAAGGAGTTCTTCCCTACATGTCAATGCCTGGATTAGAAATAAGAGAATCCTTTATGTTCCAAGGTCATAAAACAGTAATGCCTAATATCTTTTCTTAAACTGAATTTTAAAAAATCCTTTTTCTTGAGAAGGAAGAATCAAATTAACCTATCTCAAATCCAGTTAAAGCTGAGATACTTTGCAGTTTATAAACCTTTCCAATGACAGAAGAATGTAACAGTCTTTGATGGTATTTAGCACATTCTTGCTGATTTTTTCCAAAATAGCTGTTATTATCACCATGCACACTGTAAGAATTCCTCACCCATGAAAAAACACGTTCGCTAGGTGGAAATGACAAGTTAAGCCCTATTAATTAGCAAACCAGTAACGTAAGTTACAAGAAGAAACCCATAAAAACTTCATGCAGTTAAATTTAAAACTCAGAGAACACAATTTTAAAAGGAGAAACGGACATTATTAATAAAATAATATATATGAAGAGAGAAAGACTTATTAGTGAAGGTCATCCAATAATTATTTGTTGACAGCACACGCTTTCCACACCACTTACTGCCTTACCCTTCCCGGAGGCTATGGTCCAAGCCCTGGAGAAGCTCCCCTCATTTGGTCCATAAAACATACACACAAAACAGTCAAAGAACAACAGAAGGCATGTAGTGTGAGTAAGTTCCCGGGTGTGGCACAGGCACTCAGGGCAGGGGCTCCGGCAAAGCAGCCGTCATTACCGGCCAGTGGTGTAGAAGTGCTAGGCTGGGGACGTCTGGGACACGGGTGGCCAAGGAACTAATGGCAAATCAGTCACATCGGTCAGTGGGGAGGGGTCCAGGTGGTCCAATCAGATTTGCTTGTTGGAGAAACCACTTCAGCCACTATACAGAGGACAGAATTAGGGGGAAGGGACTGACCAGTGACAGAGGCAGGGAAATCATAACCTCCATGAGTGACGGTAACGCTGAAAAGAAGGAAACATATCTGAGCAGCTGTAAGGGAGAACTGAAGAGACTTGCAGCTGACTAGCTATGGGGTTTATGGGAGAGGAAAAAAGATCTAAAAGAACTGGAAGGTTTCTGGTTTGGGCCAGTAGGTAACTAATAATATACCCACCAAGACAGGAAATTTAGCAGTGGCATTAGGCTGGGGTAAAGATGACAGAGTCATGGTTTAGACATAGAGACTGTGAGATGTCTGTAGGACATGCAAATGAGAGCTCTTTTTAGTAAACAGCTGGATATCCAGACCTGGAGCTTAAGACAAAGCTGTGAAGTAAACAAAAAGACTTGGGAGTCCCTGGGGCCGAGTCAAGGCCATGTGTGAGACCTGCTAGCGGGAGTATGCTGGACAAGAGACGGCGGTGGACGATGGGGACGCAGCTCCCCCAAAGACGAGAACAAGAAATGCCAAGGGAAGAGAGCAGTGCAGGGAGAAAGGTCAAGAGCTGCTCTTCTTTAATTGTGCAAGATGATGGCAGAAAAGCATTTAGCAAGAAGAGGGTCACGGGTGGCCTTAACAAACGCGCCTTTAATGGAGTGATCAGGGCATGAGTATGATCACGTCAGGCTGAGGAGCGGAGGGGAAGGAGGATGCAGAGACGCGGCTTGCAGACTGCTCCTTCCTGGCGTTGTCCTGGTTAGGAGAAGGCTGGAAATCCTGCAGAAGTAAACCCCGAACTCCTCGCAGGCTTCGGAGACCCTCGGGGACATGCTCGTTGTTGCCTGGTCCACACCCCCCTGCCCCTTCCCCACACGTCCAGCTAGTGAGGGTTTCCTGACCACCGTGGTCCTGGTATTGCTTCAAACATTCTCCTCACTTACTCTGCCCTGTCATTCCATCACCATTCTCCCACCTGCCAAATGTCAACTCATCCCTCAGGTCTTCTATAACCCCAGATCCAGTTAGGTTTCATGTCCCTGCTCCCCTACAGCAATCAACTAGCTCGACTGTTGATGTCTGAATGCCCATTTTCCTCTTTCATTCATTCAACAAATATTTACTGAGCCCTTACTACGGGCCAGACACTTTGGATGTAGTGGTGAACAAGGAAGACAACACTCACATCCTTACAAAGCTGACACTCTAGCATGGGAGACACAAAATCATGGGTAGAGATAAGAAAATTTCAGACAGAATGCTGTGCTATGGAGAAAATTAAACAGGAGAGGGTTACAGACTGATGAAAGGGGGACATTTAAACAGGCAGGTCAGGATGGGCCACTTGAGCAGGACTTGATTGATGAGAAGGAAGAATGCGTGCAAAGACTTGGAGGAAAAGGGCTCACAGGAAGTATACAAAGGGTTGGGGATGGATTTGACTTTTTCACAGACCAGCAAGCAGGCCAGTGTGACTGGACCATCGCACGGGGAAAGCGCTGGGAAACGAGGCTGGAAGGGGTAGGTCAGCGAGGTGAACGGTGCCAGGTCCAACACAGCCCTGTGGGTCATGCGAAGGAGTTTGGATCCACCTCTAAATACAATAGGAAACTTTTCCAAACACTTCTCAGTCATTTCTCAGAGCATGGACTCCAGGGCTCAGGCCCTAACCCTTAGCAGTCACCTCCCTTTCCTGCCATTCAATGCCTGGCGAACTGTTGGGCGTTCATAAACACTACCTGCATGAATGACTTTGAATTCTGGAAGAACTTCAAAGAAGAAAATTGTGTCAAAGGGCCCCATTTCCAAGTGCTTTACTTCAAAATTAGCAAGACTAAAGGTGTTGAGATAACATTTCCATGTATAGCGCAGACTCAGTATGTACCTCCACGGTGTTTTTAAGACCCCACAGGGAGGGTACAGCTCAGAGCTTAGCATGTATGAGCTCCTGGGTTCAAGCCCCAGTACCTCCATTAAAATAAATAAATACATAAATAAACCTAATTACTCCCTCCCAAAACAAACAGAAACTTATTTAAAAAAAAAAGGACATCAGAAAAGGATACATGGTCTTTAAAAAAAAAAAAATAAACCAACTTTGAGCATGTCACTCCTCCTGACATGAGTTTCTCTTTAGCAGATGAACTAGTAACATTCCGATGGAGCTGCTGAAACCTCAGCGGGGTGTGAAGAAGTGCTAGGGACACGCTGTGCTTGCTACTCAGCCCGGCTCCACAGCAGGACACTGGCAAAGCCCCGGCGCTGCGTGAGCGTGAGCAGCAGCCCTGGCCCTGGCCCCTCCTGCCCACGCCGCTGGTGGCCCCCCTGCTCTCTCCGGGGGGCTTCTCTTCCAGCACCACCCCATGATGTCTTTTCTCCCCTCTCAGGACTTCGTATCTGTTGCCACCATCTCTTGAAGTGAGTTAGTTCTTGGAAACCATGGGCCTTTCAAAAGAATGAGACTGAAGCAAGCACGGGTGTTTCGTCTAGCTAGAATCGCAGCCCTGAGGAGGACGGCCCTGAGGGCCCAGCTGCCAGTGCAACAGCCGGGGGACAGTGCCTGACTTCACAGTCAATCACAACCACCTACCCTTTCACCAGCGATCACAGGCCTAGATATTTACCCAGAAGAAATGAAAATATATTCACACAAAGACATCACCCAAATGGTTAAACGCCAGGTGAATGGTTAAACAAACTGTGGTATCTCCACACAACAAAATACTCTTCAGAAACAAACAGCAGTGAACTCCTGACTATGCGGCAGGAATGGAGCTCCGAGACACAGGAGCACGTGCTCATGACTGTGCTTCCGTGACCCTCCAGAACAAGCAACGCCACACTCAGGTGCTTAAGCCGGAACAGCGGTTGTTGAGCAGGGGCAAGGGGAGTGGCCGACTGAGAAGGGAATGAGATAGAACTTTCTCAGGTGGTGGGAAGGTTCTAACCACTGATCTGGGTGCTGGTTACAGAGTATATATATTTGTCAAAACTCACCCAACAATACATTCAACATCTGTGCATTTACTATATGGAAACCAATAAAAAGTCTACTTAATTTATATTAAAATCTATTGATAAAGCAAGAGTATTCAGTAGGAGGGCAAGACCTTAAAACGACTCTTCTCCAGAGTATCCAAGGGTTTCAACTCACGAGACACCCAGATAGAAAAGCTGAAGCTCCTCCCGAAATGTACAGCTTTGAATCTAGTGGGGTTTTTCCTTTTCTTTTTTCAATTTTGTAATTTTATTTTTTTATTTAGTTATAGTCAGTTTACAATGTTGTGTCAATTTGCAGTGTAGATCACAATTCTTCAGTTATATATGAACACATATAGTCATTGTCACATTCTTTTTCACTGTGAATCTAGTGTTTTGACTCCATTTTAATGATTAAATCTTGCACAATTAAATTCCCTTAAAGAACCAAATGATCATTCGCCATTTTCTGGCTTGAACAATTAAATCTTGGTAAGTCCTATTTTTTTAACAGCTATTTGAAAAATACTCCTACTTCTACTGTTACTACTGTCGTTGCTACAGATACGCCACAAAGCGAGCGACCACGGGAAAAGAGGGCATTGAAAACACTGCCGCTGGAAAAATGCTGTTGCATTTATGAGCTGAATGATTTCAACCATTTAACAGCACATTCAAAGATATCCCACAACTTAAAAGAGGAAGGTGAGTGAAAGTTGACGAGTGTTTGCTTAGGGCCAAGGGGGATGGGAGGGAAAGGGGAGTGATGGGTAAAAGGCAGGGGGTTTCTATTTCAGATGATGAAAATGTTCCAAAATTGACTGTGGTGACAGCTGCACATACATGTGATGACATAAAAAGGCGCTGAACTGTACATCTGAAACAGGTGGATTCTATATGTGAATTATATCTTAGTAAAGCTGTCATCCAAAAAAGCTATTGAGCTTCCTCTTTCTCTTCCGGTCCCAGGTGATTTGGGATCTCCCGGCTCCGGTGCAGACATGGCCAACTCGAAGAACCACACCACACACAAACAGTCCCGAAAATGGCACAGAAACGGCATCAAAAAACCCCGACCACAACGATACGAATCTCTTAAGGGGGTGGACCCCAAGTTCCTGAGGAACATGCGCTCTGCCAAGAAGCACAGCAAGGAGGGCCTGAAGAAGATGCAGGCCAACAACGCCAAGGCCACGAGCGCACATGCTGAGTCTGCCAAGACTCTCGGAAAGCCCAAGGAGGCCAAGCTCAAGATCCCACAGGGTGACAGCCGCAGGCTCAGTTGACTTGCCTGCACTGCTCACCCCAAGCTTGGGAAACATGCTCGTGCCCTCATTGCCAAGGGTCTCAGGCTCTGTCGGCCAAAGGCCAAGGACAAGGCTCAGACCAAGCCGCAGCTTCAGCTTTAGCTGCAGCTGCAGCTCAGGCTCAGGTTCTGGCTCCCAAAGGCGCCCAGGCCCCACAGAGGCTCCAGACTAGAGGCTTTCATCTACTGATGTGAGGATATAAGGACTAGTGTGACCCCGGGACTGCTGTCTGCTTGGGGCTCATGTCTACCTGTGCTGTTTGTACAAATAAACCTGAGGCAGGATCTGTCAGTCAAAAAAAAAAAAAGCTATTGAGATTTTGATTGGGATTGCATGAGAATCTACAGATCAATTTGGAGAAAACAAATATACTTACAATATTGATTTTTCCCAACACATGAAACTTACGCAATTCTGCCTTTACTTGGGTCTTCTTTAGTTTCTCTCAACAACATTTTTATAGAATTTTATACAGAGACCTGTACATAATTTATCAGATTTATTCCTGGGTAACTGATATTTTTGATGCTACTTACATAGCATCTTAAAAAAAAAAGAGAAAGTGCTGAATTGTCCTAATGTGAGGTCAGAAAATGAACAGAACATGATATGCATATTAAATCATCAAAATTCTAAAATAAAAAACCACTGCAAGTGGTCTAACAAATTTTTTTTCTGATTTTAAAATGTATTGATAGAAAAGTCACACAAATATATAAAAATTAAATTACAATTAGTCACACATTTAATAAATCACATTCAGGAAAAAGAATAAAAATACCTAAGCCTACGTGACAGTATAAATCAATGCCACCCCAACAAAAACATATAAACTTCACAAATACCTGCAGATACTCTGGAAAATCCATGATGCTTCCTGATTTATACTTGTTAAGTTCCTTAGCTTACAGTGAAAATAGATAACGCATAGTTTTGCTATCTGTATTTACCCAATATATGTATTTATTAGAGAAGTGCTTTTATAGTAAAGAAATTTCCTTTTGCAATGATTAAGTTTATATTGAAAGCCAGTGACATTTAAAGGGGTTTAAGCTGTCCGTCACATTGCTGCTACAGAGCCCTGTTATGTTTTCAGTTCAAGTTAACTGAGATACTACTATCTAACTGTACATTAATTAGTAGACGGTGAAAGCAGATGGTGGATTTTTTTTCATAAAATACACATTTGTTTTCTACTAAAATAAAATAAAGATGTAAATCACATTTGGGCTTCAAGTTAACCTTGTTTGAGTTACTTAATGTTTCTGGACCTCAGTCTTTCATCTACAAAACGATGTTACATGGAAGTCTCTCCGTCGTCTCAACCAGCTTTAAAACTGCTAATTCTAGAATAAGGAAGCAGCAAAACACCACATGGTGTCACCATCGTTTCAGCAAACACAGTAATGTACGAAAAGCCAGATGAATGCAAGACAAAGGACTCAGTAATTGTTCGTTTTCAAAAGGATTCTCTACTTTCACCCCAGAATGGGCAAGCTCCCTAAATATAATTTACACTAAACTTTTCAAAAACATGTGATTTTTTTGAAAGTGCAAATTCATGATGCTTCTGAATTGTAACCTTATCTCCACTAATCATAGTTATTTCACACTGATATTAGGACAAAAAGCATAGTATATATGAAACCATTTTAGAAGAAAGATCATTAGTAACTGTGAGATATTAAAGACATTGTGGAAAGTATCCAAATAAATAATATGTTCATAAATGGAGCTACCTTCCCTTGAATGATGTGAGAGGACTTTATCTCAAAGAGATTCTCAGACACTGTGTAACCCAGAAATTGTGTATCTATAATTAACTAAAATATACTGATGGAAAAGTTATTTGACATGAAAATGTTACCTGGTCAATGATAGAATTTAGCCTGGTCAGTAACAGAAATCCTCGGCCATGGACAAGGTATTGTCCAAGGGCTGCCATGTGCGTCTCCTCCTCCTCCTCCTCCCTGGCCTCCACTCTCTGGACCACTGCATTGCAAAGCCGGTTGACATCGGTCAGAAACTCACGTGCCAAGGAGTTACTGTCAGTGCTCATGACTGAGCTGTAAGATAAACATGACAAAAAAGATTAGAGAAACAAAAATTTATGTTTAAAACTATGTGTTTTTGCTGCTGTTTGTTTTTAACTAAAGACTGACTTTAAATTACAGAGCATTGGCACCTAACCTTATCAAATTTCCAGACATAGCTCCGAGTCGGCCAGGTGCTCCGTGAGTATTCCTGCAGGGCGGGAATGAGCCCCAGTGTGAAGCGCCTGAGCAAAGCCAAGCAGGGATACGGGAGAGCACCTGCAGAGGAGATGCCAGTGGGTGGTGGAGGTTACGGCAGATGCTGACTTTCCCTCTTAAAGAGCCTCACCGTAGAATAAAAATAAACCCACTACTTACAAAAATTCATGCTGTACATGCTCTGAAAGATAAACGGATCCTTTAAAAATATAAACTGTTTTTCCCATGATAGAATCCACAGTCACTGGCCCACCTTCCCAGAGTTCAGTTAATGGTTGGGTGGGGGGTGGGCAGAGAGGAAGGATCTACCACCAGGTGACTCAAAATAGAAGAATGCCAGCAGCTCACCTTAGGCCAGTTCATTTCTTGCTACACATCCGAATCAAATACAGGGCAGTGTATTTAGTGTATTAGGATTAAGGACAACAGTAAGGTAAAGCAGACAAAAGAGAGCAGAAACACAAATACAAAGAAAAGAATGAATAAACCTCCAGAAAAGGAAAAAGCATGAACAACAAAATCCCCAAAGGATTTCAAAATAGTTTCACCTTAGGGTTAAAAGTAATTCTAAGACACTGAGTAACCCTGAGAACTTTTTAACCTAAGAGGTTGAATTAAATAAAATGTGTACTGCAGTCTTCCTTCCCCCACGGTGACGGGGCCCTTCGGCGGACCCTGCTGAGAAGGCAGTGGCCACGGGACTGTGCCACTGCCGAGGGGCACTGCCAGTCTCCGGGCCTCCGCCGACCGACACGCACTGACTCAGGGTCAGCTGCAAGATGTGACTTGTGTGGGGCAGCCTGCAAAGAGGGACTGGCCAACCACGCTTTCTCTCTCTCAGAGGAATCTGAATTAAGGGACGTAACTATGCTGAGAAGCCCCACAGAGATAGGCCTGTGCTGGTCACTATGAGGTAGCTGAGGGTCAGAAGAAGCCACCTCGGTGAAAACTAACCAAGAGGATGCAAAGAGAAATAGATAAACATGAAAGGGAGAGACCAAAGAAATGCCTAATACTACTTCGGTTCCTATTCATTCTAGGGCCTGATGGTTTAACTCCTGGATTCCCATCAGAATTCCAGGTATTGTTACAACAACAGTTCCCTCTAACATAACAAGTACCATTATTTTCAATACTGAACATTTAGAAAAAGAAAAGTTTAAAAAATGTACATAACTCATTATCCCAAAAGGCAGCAATAATCTCTATTATATATAATATTACTTCTTCATCAGCTTTCATAAAGTAAAATTGTTCAACAAATCAAAGAACCCAATTTATATTCAGTCCATATTTATCCAACTTTATTAATTGATTTCACCTAGTCTGTCATTGATTTTAAGATACATAATATTTAGTGTACCACTATGAAAGAAAAAAACACCTGCCAATTACACTATAACCGAATGCTTTCTTATCACTTAGAATTTTCCATACAATATCATCTCCTGGGCCACCAAGATCATCCACCATGCAACATCTAAAGTTCCAACACAAAACCAGTGGCCAATACTCATATTTGATGTATGAAACAGCCAACAAATTTCCTCAATCTCAAGAGCACACTAAAAAATACCTGTAGCTTCAAGAACGGAGTCTTGAGTGAGGGAGTCTTGGAACATACTTGATCGGAACAAAACAACTTGATCGTAGCTCCCTACGCCTCCTCTCCCAACTCCCAGCTCCCAACGTCCAGGTAAATCACTATAAAGGAAGGAGAATCAGACACATCAATCTTCTTAACAACGGAATCTAGGAGGCCATGGACTATCACGTGTATACTATGCACAGCCAAGTTACTACTTTCCTGTAAAACTGAACAATATCTGAGGATTATGAGAACTCAGAAAATACTAAAGCCAAACGATGAATAAAACCCCACCAAATTTCCTATCTTTGTTGACTTTTTAAAAATGAATTAATCTTAAAAAATTTTTATTTATTTATTTATTTGGGGGGTGGTAATTAGTTTTATTTATTTATATTGACGGAGATACTGGGGATTGAACTCAGGACCTTGTGCATGCTAAGCGTGCACTCTACCACTAAGATACACCCTCGCCCCGATGAATGAATCTTTTGTGTACAACACAATGAAGGCTATTTCTGTTCACTAAAGGATAAATTCCTACTTCTGGGCAACAACATGCTTCTCTGTCGTTTCCTCTCTCTCTATAGTTTTTTACCAGGCAGAGGCAAGAAGAAAATTTCCTTATTATAGTTATAAGGCAAACATAAAGGTTTATTTTGAATCGCAAGTTTTAAAATCAAAATGATCTTTAATTGCTTTATAATGCTCAAATCTAGACAACTGTCTTGAATTTCTTCCTGCTTAACAAACAGATCTAATATCACGCACTGTGGTAGGTACTTGAGAATGAAGCAGGCAGGAAACAG